ATGCAGTAATCGGTATGAACAAGGTCGGTATGACGGTATGACAATCTGAATACCGCCCAAGCCTACTTCAAAATGTCTTTGAAAGTAATTGAAATACCCTAAATAGTATTTGAAACCAGGTCTGTTGTCCTGTCTCATTTCCTGAAGGCCATTCTCAATTTAGATCCTATGTGTGACTGACCAGTGTGACCAGCTCTGCCTCTGTCACTAATACAGCTGAGCTGATGTAACTGTCAGAGGTTTTCTAACAGAGCCGGGGGGCTCATGTGATACATGGACGTGTGTATCATGACTGTGTATTAATAGCTTCCTTTGAACCCCAACAAGCACCTTTTAGGGAAGTCCAGTGTTGCTTTAAGTCAACTCAGTGAACAGTGAACACCTGGACTCCCTTACTTTTATGGTAAGGCAAATGTAACTGTTCCTTTTCTCAACAATTCAGGTTTGATTCAAGTGAAAGCTTGAATCTATCCGTACATTCTGAATATCTGAAAGATATAAATGTATTTCTGAATGACTGAATGATATCTCTTGGATTAATTTACAGCAATGGGTAAATTTAGAATACAGGCCACAGAGAGATTGTTGGGTGGAACAGTTTATTTATTTATTTTTACATGGAAGAATTTACCACCACAATCTAAAGAACATCCAAACTACATAGCTACATATCCCAACACCATTTTAAGCTTTGCAGTTTTGAAAAATTAGCTACATACACTATTCCAGCAGACAAATTGCCCACTGATCTCTTCCAAATGTTCCAGTGTAATAACATATTGTGCTTTTAAAGACTGAAAATATGGTCAAAATACACTACTGTCAACTAAATCAGTTTACTAGCAATTTGGAAAAAGTCCCAGTAGTCAACTTAGAATATTTATTGTACATTCCATATCATAGTTTTCTGTGTAGAATTTGGTTAAAAGAAGGATAGGTAATCAGAAGAGCTGACATCCCTTAGAAAATGCCACTCTCTCTCCAGCAGCATTGGGAGACTGCAGAAAAACTCTTGCAATTCTGTGCCATGTTTAAGCCTACCTTTTGACGGGATAGGTATGTCTCCACCAGAAATCAAAGGCAAATGAATCTGACCAATGTTCTAACATAACACTACAATTTGGTGTATTCAAAATGTTTGGTGAACTTTTCTGAAGCCATTTTCTTACTTTGTCCGTTGAATATCGGTAACCTCTACTCTAGCCCATCATCATCAACACAATACCTGTCCACAGAAAAGGACTTCTGTTATGTTTTACATTTATCAAGGTAACATTTGAAGTTGGATGGCACTTCAGAAACAGAGGCATTTCTGATTATCATACTTGCTATAGATGTGCATGTCTAGACGGGTTGACAGGTTACCAACAAATACAATGCATGATATTGTACTATACTTGTACAAAAATTAGAAGAGCACACAAAAATCAATCTTGAGTTACATATTAGGAAGGCAACCTGCCCCAAAAAATACACATACATTTTATGCTCACCATTTAATGACAATCAAATTCAATAGTGCAAAACAACACTTACAATACATGTATGTAATTCTTACAAAAATAAAAACTCTAACACTTCCTCCCCTCTACCACCTGGTAGGTAAGTATCCAATAGAAGATTGACCAGTAGGCGACTGGTCCATAATCCAATAGGACATCTGAAGGTATATTACATGCTGACAACATGTTGGCATGCTTTGACTGCACCCACAACACAGCATGATACAGAAATGATACCATTAAGTCACAACATTAATGATTGAATAACTGAAATGAAATGCAGTGCTCTTGACATTACAGTCAAACCAGCACATTTCTTGGTCTTACTTTCAGTGTGCCCCCATATTCATGTACAGACAAGAATCCTGAGGCACATCAGAATGTAAGGTACATAGGTTGGTTAGTTGGGAACTGAATGATCCCCGGACCATGAAACACGATGACATCAAAATTATTAATGCAACACAGCTGATCAAAAATAAAGCCTGTACTAGGACACATTATGAGGCCAAAATGAAGCAACGGTGAAGGCATCTGATGTCTCGCAAAGCATTCTAGTCTACATCTACATTTTCAAGGGCTAGCATAGCGCTAATGGGTGAAATGATGCACACCAATGCTGAGCTCTAAGTAGCATTGCCTGACTCTCTGGTCCTCCTCCCCCCTCTTCTTCTCTTACGCATATCTTCCTCTCAGAAACCAGAGCTGGCAGAGCCCTCAGTGCAGCTCCAAGGACATGACACCATCCAACACTGTCTGTATACAGTAGTTAGTACATACTAAAGTATAGTCTACAATGGTTCCTGCAAGAGCCTCCAACACATAAAACTGTAACAGGTCTGGTTACCTCCCTGCTACTGACAGCTTACACCATTTATGTCCTGTGAAACATTTTCTTCAATATTCATGTTAGTTTTTCTTACATCTTGACTTATGCAAAGGCATTGCACTGTCATCTATATTTGAAATGGATACAAAACTCATGGTGGGGACTGGTAAGCACTTTTAGCGGTCGTAAAAATATGTAACATGGAGTTGTACAGTCCCCAGAACAGACAGTTCCTTGGAATGTCCTGATGGAATCAGTTGGCAACCTAAGAACCGCTGAGGAGTGTGTGCACGCACGTTGGGGAGTTTAATATCTTGATGGAAACATCTTCAGCTTGATATTTATAAATGAGGAAGTATTCTTAGACTTGTTGGACTTCATGTTTCTTCTTATAAAACACAGTTTTCATGCTCCAAACTTCTTTCACCTACTGCACAGATGAAAGAAGACACCGTCATTAAGAAGTAGGCTAATGATATAAACAACTTGTACAAGAATGCACTTTTCAACACGGTAGACTAGGTTCACAGAGCAGTTCATTCAATACAGCTGACCTTATTGAACAATTAGTGGGGCATACCTGACCGCTTGACCTCTTGACCCCTGAAAGTCCCTTGATGACCCAGTGAGAGACACACATTCCTAACACATCCACCCATTAGGCCTGGCTGGCTGCACTTGACAGGGCATTCCTCTATAATAGCAGTGTGGACTGGCAGGGTCTGATTCTTAAACGGCTGAGCAGATGGACATTACGTAACAGTAGACGTTCAAATGGTGCTGGTGGTTTAAATATATTTTAAGTGGTTAAATGGCCTGACCACAGAATTATATCTTAGAACTAATTTAACAAGATCTCTATGGGCCTGACTCCTGCCACAGGCTACCAGTGGATACCGTATGCACAATGTACATTGTATTTATGAGTGCAGTGTCACCTTGTAGTCAGTATGAGAAGAGCAGTAGTGTTGTGTCCTTCCTTACCATGGCATGAGATGAATAAAGAGGAGCAGATCCCTTTCAGATTCCTTGCCCTGCGATCATTGACTTGGGCCTGCAAATGAGTATGAATAAATAAATATCTCTGTAATATTGTTTCCCCATCCATTTCCTGATATATTGCTGGTGAGAGATAATAGTGCTTGACCATGGCCATGTTGACTGCTGCTTGGTCTATACCAGGTAGACTGGTAGACGAACATCTCATTCCAAATTCATGGGCATTAATATGGAGTTGGTCCCCCCCCTTTTGCTGTTATAACAGACTCCACTCTTCTGGGAAGGCTTTCCACTAGATGTTGGAACATTGCTGCTGGGACGTGCTTCCATTCAGCCACAAGAGCATTTTTGAGGTCGGGCACTGATGTTGGGCGATTAGGCATTCCAATTCATCCCAAATGTGTTCGATGGGGTTGAGGTCAGGGCTCTGTGCAGGCCAGTCAAGTTCTTCCACACGATCGACAAACCATTTCTGTATGGATCTCACTTTGTGCACGGGGGCATTGTCATGCTGAAACAGGAAAGGGCCTTCCCCAAACTGTTGCCACAAAGTTGTAAGCACAGAATCGTCTACAATTACATTTACATTTACATTTTAGTCATTTAGCAGACACTCTTATCCAGTGCGACTTACAGTTAGTGATATCCAGAGCGACTTACAGTTAGTGAGTGCATACCATTTATTTTTTATTTTTATTTTTTTCATACTGGCCCCCCGTGGGAATCGAACCTACAACCCTGGCGTTGCAAACGCCATGCTCTACCAACTGAGCTACATCCCTGCCAGCCATTCCCTCCCCTACCCTGGACGACGCTGGGCCAATTGTGCGCCTCCCCATGGGTCTCCCGGTCGCGGCCGGCTACAACAGAGCCTGGATTCGAACCAGGATCTCTAGTGGCACAACTAGCACTGCGATGCAGTGCAGGTAGCGTTCCCTTGGCATCTGCCAAACCCAGATTCGTCTGTCGGACTGCCAGATGGTGAAGCGTGATTCATCACTCCAGAGAACGCGTTTCCACTGCTCCAGAGTCCAATGGCGGCGAGCTTTACAACACTCCAGCCGACGCTTGGCATTGCGCATGGTAATCTTAGGCTTGTGTGCGGCTGCTCGGTCATGGAAACCCATTTCATGAAGCTCCCGACAAACAGATATTGTGCTGACGTTGCTTCCAGAGGCAGTTTGGAAATCAGTAGTGAGCGTTGCAACCGAGGACAGATGATTTGTACACGCTACACGCTTCAGCACTCTGCGTTCCCGTTCTGTGAGCTTGTGTGGCCTACCACTTCCCGGCTGAGCCGTTGTTGCGCCTAGACTTTTCCCCTTCACAATAACAGCACTTACAGTTGACCGGGGCAGCTCTAGCAGTGCAGAAATTTGATTAACTGACTTGTTGGAAAGGTTTCCTCCTTTGACAGTGCCACGTTGAAAGTCACTGAGCTCTTCAGTAAGACCATTCTACTGCCAATGTTTGTCTATGGAGATTGCATGGCTGTGTGCTCCATTTTATACACCTGTCAGCAACGGGAGTGGCTGAAATAGCCGAATCCACTCATTTGAAGGGGTGTCCAAATACTTTTGTATATATAGTGTATCTCCAACCCTGGTCCTGGAGAGCTTTAAGATATCCGGCTATCACACACAGGCCGTTATAGTGTAACTGTCTACTCCCTACCTCTCTGCCTTGGCTGAAGAAGACACCTGTGGGTTTGGATGCTCCTGCTGCCGCTGTTCCTGCTCCATCCTGTACAAGCAGAGGGAGACAACACTTGTATAAAAGCTTGATGAATGAACTGACTGAGGATACAGCATGGATCACCCCTGATTGAGCATGAGCATGGCATGTATACCTGGTTAATTCAATCAAAAAAATAAGATGAAAATGTGTTTTACCTTTCTTTCCGAGCTTTGATCCTCTCCTCCTCAAATCTGTAAAAATAAAAGATTAAGATCACTATTCTGATCCAAGTCCTTTCCCAAGAGTTGGAATACAGATCCTATCTTACATATTTTTTTGGGCTGACAAACAAAATCTGAAAACCTTTGATATTCAAATGTGTTCTTCTATGACTTATTTACTGCCTCAAAGTCTCTGCCAGGCATCCATGTCTATTCACGGAGGGAAAAATTATTGGCTTGCAAGTTTACATAATTTATTAGTCTGCAAAATTGCAAATCACTACAAGTCAGTGAATGATGGTGGGAGTCAGGTGGGAGTCAAGTCTTCAGCTTAGTTACTCCCCATAGTGGTCGATGATACTTACTGCACCACACACTCCGGGACCTGCACATGTTCCATGGGGACTATCTCTGCCAGCTCATCCAGACTGTGCACATACTGGATCTTATTCATAAACTTCACACTGCAAATAGAACAGGATAATAACAACAACCAGTTATATTGGTGTTATGTGTACAGTTGTGGTCAAAAGTTTTGAGAATGACACAAGTATTGGTCTTCACAAAGTTTGCTGCTTCAATGTTTTTAGATATTTTTGTCAGATGTTACTATGGTATACTGAAGTATAATTACAAGCATTCCATAAGTGTCAAAAGCTTTTATTGACAATTACATTAAGTTTATGCAAATAGTCAATATTTGCAGTGTTGACCCTTCTTTTTCAAGACCTTTGCAATCTGCCCTGGCGTGCTGTCAATTAACTTCTGGGCCACATATTACATTTACATTTACGTCATTTAGCAGACGCTCTTATCCAGAGCGACTTACAAATTCTGACTGATGGCAGCCCATTCCTGCATAATCAATGCTTGGAGTTTGTCAGAATTTGTGGGTTTTTGTTTGTCCACCCGCCTCTTGAGGATTGGCCACAAGTTCTCAATGGGATAAAGGTCTGGGGAGTTTCCTGGCCATGGACCCAAAATGTCGATGTTTTGTTCCCCGAGCCACTTAGTTATCACTTTTGCCTTATGGCAAAATGCTCCATCATGCTGGAAAAGGCATTGTTCGTCACCAAACTGTTCTTGGATGGTTGGGAGAAGTTGCTCTCGGAGGATGTGTTGTTACCATTCTTTATTCATGGCTGTGTTCTTAGGCAAAATTGTGAGTGAGCCCACTCCCTTGGATGAGAAGCAACCCCACACACACGAATGGTCTCAGGATGCTTTACTGTTGGCATGACACAGGACTGATGGTAGCGCTCACCTTTTTTTCCGGATGCCCCAAACAATCGGAAAGGGGATTCATCAGAGAAAATGACTTTACCCCAGTCCTCAGCAGTCCAATCCCTGTACCTTTTGCAGAATATCAGTCTGTCCCTGAAGTTTTTCCTGGAGAGAAGTGGCTTCCTCGCTGCCCTTCTTGACACCAGGCCATCCTCCAAAAGTCTTCACCTCACTGTGCGTGCAGATGCACTCACACCTGCCTGCTGCCATGCCTGAGCAAGCTCTGCACTGGTGGTGCCCCGATCCCGCAGCTGAATCAACTTTAGGAGACGGTCCTGGTGCATGCTGGACTTTCTTGGGCGCCCTGAAGCCTTCTTCACAACAATTGAACCTCTCTCCTTGAAGTTCTTGATGATCCGATAAATGGTTGATTTAGGTGCAATCTTACTAGCAGCAATATCCTTGCCTGTGAAGCCCTTTTTGTGCAAATCATTGATGACAGCACGTGTTTCCTTGCAGGTAACCATGGTTAACAGAGGAAGAACAATGATTTCAAGCACCACCCTCCTTTTAAAGCTTCCAGTCTGTTATTCTAACTCAATCAGCATGACAGAGTGATCTCCAGCCTTGTCCTCGTCAACACTCTCACCTGTGTTAACGAGAGAATCACTGACATGATGTCAGCTGGTCCTTTTGTGGCAGGGCTGAAATGCAGTGGAAATGTTTTTTGGGGATTAAGTTCAATTTTCATGGCAAAGAGGGACTTTGCAATTAATTGCAATTCATCTGATCACTCTTCATAACATTCTGGAGTATATGCAAATTGCCATCATAAAAACTGAGGCAGTAGACTTTGTGAAAATGAATATTTGTGTCATTCTCAAAACTTTTGACCACGACTGTACAACTATTAGTTATCCGTCACAGTGGTGATATGTAGCATAACTGTATTATAAAAAATGCTCTCAAACTTTTGTATAATTTCAGCCAGAAGTTTTGAAAGTGCTGCTCATGAGCCAAAAGTGGTGTACTACGCCATAAAATTGTGTACCACGTCATCCATTTCGTATAATATTTTACGTCATGCCCCCCCCCAAAAAAAATATATATATATATTAAATTTTTTTTGCAATTCATATGATAGGTTACGAATCCAATTCGTACTATATGTTACGAATTTGTTGTGTTTAAGATCCTGGTGTGCATCTTTAACATGATGTTGTGTGTTGTTGTTGTTCTGTGGTCACCTGATGAAGGGCCTGGATATGGCCAGCACAGTGCGGATGAACCAGGTGGGGTGGGCGATGACCAGAGACTTCAGATTCTTCCTCAGCCTTCAGGGACAACAGAAATAAATAGTTGAAATAAGGCAATACATACATCCCATAGTGCTGGAAGAATCTATCAAGCAGCCTAGTATGAGTCAATCCCCATTTCCCATTGACTGCCAGTAGCAGTGACAAGCTCAATTACTCCCCATTAGTTTCTCCTGAGAGTCAGTCAACATTTGTGTTATGCACATCCATCCTATGCCGACAGTATGAATGATCGCTTTTGTCATGCAGTGGTGTATAAGATATAAATATCCTTACCTCCTATCAATCATCTGATAGCATTTCTTCAGCCATCCTATGCCCGGCATCTTGCCCCGCGGTGTGGCTCCATTCATGTAGATGATCAAATAGTCCTCAGCAACCAGCATTTCTAGACTGCTGACCACATACCTGAGATGGCAATGAGGAAGGGAAAAATATTGAGGTTTATTTCATTGCTGCCATGGCAAGCACTAAAGAAATCTCCAGTTCTATTTTCTGGCAGCATAAATCTTCAATACAAAATTCTTATGTGATGTATAACATGATATCTCTGCATTCAATGATAGTATCCCAGGCATGATGACCTAGTTTTAAATATCACTCTGTAGTAGCTGGGCATGTGTGCCTCTTGCCATAAATCAGTATCTCTGCAATTTGTAAATCCAATTACTCACAGGAAGAGGTTCTCCATGATGTAGTGGTAATCTGCACAGCTGCTGTCGGGCAGGTAGCAGGCTGAGAACACTATGATGGCATTCAAACCCTCGCCATAGTAACCTGCAGAGGGCGAGGAGAGTGACAGTTGACATGGCCTGTAAGTTCATCCCGTTGGTGTCAATTATCTGGATGCAGAACCATCAATATACAGACATATACAGACGTCAACTCAGTTTGAGATTGAATGGGCACCATGTTGGCATCAAAAGTTCCATGACAATTCAATTGTAATTAGTTTAACTATGTATACAGTATCTATGGCTCTGGCTGGATGCTGTTGGCTGGATACTGACCCCCATGGGTGATGACGCGGAGGTATGGCCTGATGACCTGCATGTCGATGCGGTGCTCCTGCTCCCCAATGATCACCGTCCTCCACAGGCGCCCGTTACCCCCTGTCCCATCAGCACAATCCTCCTCCTCTCTGTCACCAGGCCCCGCTTTGGCGTTGGCTACTGGCGTGTCATCTGGATGTACATAGTGAAAAGTTGAAAGGTGTTTATGCTATAATGTGAAGTTGGTTAAAAACAAATGTATGTATATTAGTGAGACATAATGGATTTGTTTTACGTCATCACCTTTGTACTTCTCTTCATGTTTCTTAGCTGCTGTGCTGTTTAGCTGTAGTCTAATAGTCTAGATGTTAACATTAGTGTACAACGCAGCTATTTACACTCAACAAAAATATATGGATTTCACATGACTGGAAAAACAGATATGCATCTGTTGGTCACAGAGACTGTACCTTTAAAAAAAAGCTAGGGACGTGTATCTGGTGTGTCAGTATCTGGTGTGACCACCATTTGCCTCATGCAGCGCGACACATCTCCTTCGCATAGAGTTGATTAGACTGTGGATTGTGGCCTGTGGAATGTTGTCCCACTCCTGTTCAATGACTGTGCGAAGTTGCTGGTTATTGGCAGGAACTGGAACACTCTGTCGTACACGTCCATCCAGAGCATCCCAAACATGCTCAATGGGTGACGTCTGGTGAGTATGCAGGCCATGGAAGAACTGGGAAATTTTCATCTTCCAGGAATTGTATACAGATCCTTGCGACATGGGGCCGTGCAATATCATGCTGAAACGTGAGGTGATGGCGGACGGATGAATGGCACAACAATGGGCCTCAGGATCTCGTCACGATATCTCTGTGCATTCAAATTGCCATCGATAAAATGCAATTGTGTTCATTGTCCATAACTTATGCCTGCCCATACCATAACCCCTCTCCCACCATGGGGCACTCTGTTCACAAGGTTGACATCAGCAAACCGCTTGCCCACACAACGCCCTACACGCTGTCTGCCATCTGCCTGGTACAGTTGAAACCGGGATTCATCCGTGAAGAGCACACTTCTCCAGTGTGCCAGTGGCCATTGAAAGTGAGCATTTGCCCACTGAAGTCGGTTACGACGCCTAACTGCAGTCACGTCAAGACCCTGGTGAGGATGACGAGCACGCAGGTGAGGTTACCTGAGACGGTTTCTGACAGTTTGTGCAAACCCACAGTTTCATCAGCTGTCCGGGTGGCTGGTCTCAGACGATCCTTCAGGTAAAGAATCCGGGTGTGGAGGTCCTGGGCTGGCGTGGTTACATGTGGTCTGCGGTTGTGAGGCCGGTTGGACGTACTGCCAAATACTCTAAAACAACGTTGGAGGTGGCTTATAGTAGAGAAATTAACATTCAATTCTCTGGCAACAGCTCTGTTGGACATTCCTGCAGTCAGCACGCTCCCTCAAAACGTGAGACATCTGTGGCATTGTGTTGTGTGACAAAACTGCACATTTTAGAGTGGCCTTTTATTGTCCCCAGCACAAGGTGCACCTGTGTAATGATCATGCTGTTTAATTCACTTCTTGATATGCCACACCTGTCAGGTGGATGGATTATCTTGGCAAAGGAGAAATGCTCACTAACAGCGATGTAAACAAATTTGTGCACAACATTTTAGAGAAATAAGCTTTTTGTGCGAATAGAACATTTCTGGGATCTTTTATTTCAGCTCATGAAACATGTGACCAACACTTTACATGTTGCGTTTATATTTTTGTTCAGTATATCTAGCCTGAGTGGGTGCCAGACCGTGTCTGCGCTAGCTACATCTTGCCAAACAACAAGTTGTCTAAAGCACACAGACTGGCACCCAGGCTACCAGGCTGGCACCAGGGCTTCCATTATTCCGCACTGCATGAGCTCTACTCACCTTCCCACTCCAGCTCATTGCCGTTGGTGATGAACTCCAGGGAGTCGTTGTCGTCAGGGGGTCTCGATGTCGTCCACGTTGATGTCCAGGTCGTCGGGTGTATCCAGGAAGTCTTCAGACAGCAGGGAACCCTCGCTGTGGTCCAGGGACAGGTTCATGTCCGGGGCCACTAATGTACGGCGCTTACGATGGGTGGACCCTCCTCCACTTCCGCCTCCTCCACCTGCATTAACATTCAGAGAGTTGGGGGGAGCTGCGATAGAGGAGGTGAGACTTGTTAGCTACTGATAGTGTACACACATGACATCCAGTTGAATTCACAGGTGCAAGGTCCATGAAGTAGCATGTGAGATGAGGCTCATTGTTATAAAGTAATACACTGCTCAAAAAAATAAAGGGAACACTTAAACAACACAATGTAACTCCAAGTCAATCACACTTCTGTGAAATCAAACTGTCCACTTAGGAAGCAACACTGATTGACAATAAATGTCACATGCTGTTGTGCAAATGGAATAGACAACAGGTGGAAATTATAGGCAATTAGTAAGACACCCCCAATAAAGGACTGGTTTTGCAGGTGGTGACCACAGACCACTTCTCAGTTCCTATGCTTCCTGGCTGATGTTTTGGTCACTTTTGAATGCTGGCGGTGCTTTCACTCTAGTGGTAGCATGAGACGGAGTCTACAACCCACACAAGTGGCTCAGGTAGTGCAGCTCATCCAGGATGGCACATCAATGCGAGCTGTGGCAAGAAGGTTTGCTGTGTCTGTCAGCGTAGTGTCCAGAGCATGGAGGCGCTACCAGGAGACAGGCCAGTACATCAGGTGACGTGGAGGAGGCCGTAGGAGGGCAACAACCCAGCAGCAGGACTGCTACCTCCGCCTTTGTGCAAGGAGGAGCAGGAGGAGCACTGCCAGAGCCCTGCAAAATGACCTCCAGCAGGCCACAAATGTGCATGTGTCTGCTCAAACGGTCAGAAACAGACTCCATGAGGGTGGTATGAGGGCCCGACGTCCACAGGTGGGGGTTGTGCTTACAGCCCAACACCGTGCAGGACGTTTGGCATTTGCCAGAGAACACCAAGATTGGCAAATTCGCCACTGGCGCCCTGTGCTCTTCACAGATGAAAGCAGGTTCACACTGAGCACGTGACAGACGTGACAGAGTCTGGAGATGCCGTGGAGAACTTTCTGCTGCCTGCAACATCCTCCAGCATGACCGGTTTGGCGGTGGGTCAGTCATGGTGTGGGGTGGCATTTCTTTGGGGGGCCGCACAGCCCTCCATGTGCTCGCCAGAGGTAGCCTGACTGCCATTAGGTACCGAGATGAGATCCTCAGACCCCTTGTGAGACCATATGCTGGTGCGGTTGACCCTGGGTTCCTCCTAATGCAAGACAATGCTAGACCTCATGTGGCTGGAGTGTGTCAGCAGTTCCTGCAAGAGGAAGGCATTGATGCTATGGACTGGCCCGCCCGTTCCTGAATCCAATTGAGCACATCTGGGACATCATGTCTCGCTCCATCCACCAACTCCACGTTGCACCACAGACTGTCCAGGAGTTGGCGGATGCTTTAGTCCAGGTCTGGGAGGAGATCCCTCAGGAGACCATCCGCCACCTCATCAGGAGCATGCCCAGGCGTTGTAGGGATGTCATACAGGCACGTGGAGGCCACACACACTACTGAGCTTCATTTTGACTTGTTTTAAGGACATTACATCAAAGTTGGATCAGCCTGTAGTGTGGTTTTCCACTTTAATTTTGAGGGTGACTCCAAATCCAGACCTCCATGGGTTGATACATTTGATTTCCATTGATAATTTTTGTGTGATTTTGTTGTCAGCACATTCAACTATGTAAAGAAAAAAGTATTTAATAAGATTATTTCATTCATTCAGATCTAGGATGTGTTATTTTAGTGTTCCCTTAATTTTTTTGAGCAGTGTATATTAAGCTAAAGTGACTTATAGTATATCAACTGAGTTAACTTTACCAACACCAAAAACATCTATCAAATGCCAGACAGGTGAGGTGTTATTTCAATTATACTTACAGGCTCTGTCATCGGTGAGACCACAGGAAGACTCCATGTCACCGTCCTCAGGAAGTGGTCTGAAAATCAACACAGAGAGCACATCATTCTGTCAGGGCCACAGCCACACACAATAGCATGACATGAGCAAACACTAAAGCCAGCCAGCCTGACTCAAATAAACCAAACCCCAAATAGTCCCTGAAGCACACTAGTACATCACCACATCATTGCAGCTGGTGCAAAATTAACACATGCCAGCGATCATGTCAGTGGGGTTGTCAGTGATCTGGCTCAGCACCTCAAAGGGAGCGCAGAGAGAGGAGGTTGGGTGGTAATTAGCATCTCCCCAGGGAGTTCTTTAGATTATAGACCTGCCATGGTGTGCGATGTGGGAGGGAGGTAGAGGCGGTGGTATGTCAAAAAACCCTATTCACTGTACAGGGGAGGCAGACACACCGTTAGGCTACCCCTTAACATTTGGTGTAATTTCCCTTGTCACTTCCTGTAACGTGAAACAAGGGAGGACATGGAGGAGGTGGAGAATGAAGTATAATATGGAGGAAATGTCAACAACAACCAAATATCAAGAGGCACTGGGGAAATATAAGGTATACAGATCCACTGTGCTCCACTGCTGCGTAATCCTAAACCATCCTTTCAACCTAACATCCCAGGGAGGACAGACAGTCTATAACAGTGTTGCCAAATCAACATGACTGGCAATAACAAATGACAAGGGCATCCGTTACACCGCATGGTGTCCGATCTAGCGTCCCTGAGGCGTCCCACTGCTATAACCACTGGCAAGCTTCCATTGTTTAAATAACCAATTTCCTACAAATGATGACACCATGAAGAAGAAATGAAATAGGAATTATGTCTAACAAAGGTTATGATAATCCAAAATGTCAAGCAGTCAGGCCACATTCTTTTCCTATATGATGATGAGGGCTAAAATATCAAATCATAAGAGCTCCTGCTTACCTTATAAACAATGAGGATGAATTCAAAGACGATCCAGGCAACTATTTGATTTTACAGCAGAGGATCCTATAATATTATGCATTCCCTTTTCTCAGTCGATCATAGGGAGCCTCAGGCACATCATCATTCAGAGCCTAATGATACATATACTTATTTTCTCTTCCTCCTTTTCCTTAAAGCTGATCTGCCACCATTTTCCTGGTGATGCTGTGTTGTTGACTGGTTGCTGCGTCACATGACGTAGCCCACTACCATTTAAGGAGAGAGCTGCACCTGCTCCCTGCCTCCGCTCCTTCAGATGGAGAGAGACAGGAGGATATAACCTGCTGTCAGAATGCTCTCTCTCTCTCTTTGCCTCTCTTTTTCACACTCCTTTAATTTCCTACTGAGCAATTCTTTGATCTCCCTGCATCTCATAATGACAATAAAGGGAAATGTCATGCCTAAATCCAGTCCTCTTCGTAATTCTTCAGTGCTTGGAGGACAATTATAATTTTTGTTTAAAATCTGTATAGATCCAGTGTTTGTGAATGTTTACGGCACATATTATTGTCATATGGCTATTGCAATCAATGTCAGAGGTTGATTTCAGTAGATGGGGGTATCTGCTAGGTATTCCAGGCTATAATTAGACCAGCTGCACGAGGCTAGCCCACTGGGAAATCCTCAAGCAAATTATACTGGAGCAGATTATTGCCCTTCAACAACAAACTTCACTGCGGGCATGAGGCATTGTCATCTTCCAGTTGTGATGAAATGCCACCCACTCACCTCATCTCCTCAGCACCGATGGCCAAGTGTTAAAAAAAACACACAGTAACATTCTAAAGTGTATTACTGTGTGATTATTCTTGCAAGTACAATGTAACAAATAGTGTAACCTTTGTTGTTACACTGTAGGCTGTATACTATACTTACTAATGGATTACTGCTGTAAGTATAATGTAACGGTGAGTTATTACAATACTTTTTACACAGTATTGGACCCTGCAGGACTAAAGGACCCTGTAAAGTAAAGCATGTTCAAAGTCGTCTGACACCCACCTGGGGAAGTCTTCATCCTGCCACTCGTCTTTACATTCCATGTTATCCATTCGTAGTGTCGCCTCTGTGGTGCCCATCCCATGGAAGGGAGGGGAGGGGAGGGGCCTGGGGCACACAGAAATAGACAGACCATACATAATTAACCAACCAACCAACAATAATCAATCACAGATGGGGTGAGTTCCTTCCTGTTACAATGGAGCACTTTGAGCATTGGAAATTATGTATAGATCCAATTTATCACTTTCACCATTATCATTATTATCAATGGCATAATCAAATCATAGCCTCCGGCTTTAAGCGGGATCAAATCATATCAAACCTATCCTCAGGTCTGAAGATCAAATGGCAATAATGTGGTCCTCTGTAGCTCAATTGGTAGAGCATGGCGCTTGTAGCGCCAGGGTAGTGGGTTCGATCCCCGGGACCACCCATACGTAAAAATGTATGCACGCATGACTGTAAGTCGCTTTGGATAAAAGCGTCTGCTAAATGGCATATTATATTATTATAATAAGCCCATGTTTTGTGTAACACATTAGAGAATTCCTCCGTTATAACACAGAGAATGCATTTATACAAGAGGAACAATAGTACGGTTATTAGTATTTTATTTAATTCTTAGTATTTATCATTTCAATTGAGAAACTGAATCTAGGTCACAAGGCGTTTATCCCCCTGTGCAGCATGTGAGGTGCATGTGACTGAGGTCCCCTTGCAGCTTCCCTCAGTCAATCACAATTAAGGAATTTCCTAGGTGGATTCCAAGAGGCCAGGAGAAATCAACTCTTAATCCCTCCTCATCAGCTACTAATCCTCAGCACAGTTGCCACCTTTTTGATGTGTTCAGGTTTATCCTGTCTGACACAAGTTTAAAGAGACAGTTCTACAGCCTATTAATACTGGCTCCAGGTAGCTCAAGCTGGGTTGACATCATGTAAGTCAGTGCAGCGTACTGTAATCACTCACATTCTGTTTTCGAGGGAAAGTTGTAAGTGTGACTGGGTTTCAGTTTTCGTTACCATCATTGGCTATGTTGAATAAGATAGAGGCACTGTAATATTATTAAAAGTCAGATACACCGTATATTTTATGCTGAGGTTGTATGGTTCACTGCATGGGACTGATTGTCTTTAATGGAACTAATTTACTCCTCTCTTTGTACCTCTTCACTCATGTGGAAAATCAACAGAGCCTGACTGGGGTGTACTGTGGCTTAGGTTCCCCAGGTCAGCTGTGGAAATATTTATAAAAACAGATACTCTCAGGGCGGGCTCCGAAAGTACATTACCTGTCTGTGGGTGTGGGTAAGTGACAACATTAACTCTGAGAATTCACCTAACATAAACACAGCAAAATAAATAAGGAGATCAGAATACGATTTGTAAGGCAATGTCCTACACACAGAGGGTGTAGAGCAGTGTACTGTATCCCAGAGGGCAAAGCAGCATACTATAAGACCCCAGCCATAACCCACAAGAGAAGCTGCTTGTATTTCATGTCACTTCGATTGAGCATGCAATCGTGAGCCTTATTGTGTGACCAGAATAATTTGCATACCATACACCCAATAAACGCATAAACCCAACTGTCTGTGCCTAGTGAAGTGATACCGTATCCAAAGTATAATTTGTCAACTAAAGAGAGGGCTGGCATGTTATCAATATGGAGGGAAGAAGAAAAACCCACCAGCATGAGAGGTAATCAAAGTAATCAATTGCCTGCATCTTTCATTTACCAAACACTATGGTTTGTTTTGTGCCCTCACTATGTGCATTCACAGATATTTTTGTTGGATCCTAATACTTTAAATTAAAACAATGACGGTACTACATTTCTGGAGGTATTCAGTATGCTGCCAGGCATTGGAGTAAATGAAGAGGAATAATAGTAGTGTGGGAGAAAACTTGACCGTAAGGCTTGAATCACGTCTGCAGTCTGCATGTGCAAGGAAAATGCAAGAGCAGAATACAATGGAAACCGACAGTCATTCTTTATCATCTAATCCTATTGATTTACTATATTCATGAGCTACTATACATTTACTTCACACACTGTATGAGTAATGTAATAAAGAGTAGAGGAAGAATGCAAGGGCGTACTCACATGGGCAGTAAGAGATCCCTTGAATCTCTGCTGTCCGTCCTTCCCTTTGCGTCCTCCCTCCTTACTCACTGATGTAAAGATTGGACAGCTAGGAATTGTAATCCTTCAGACCAGGGTCGATGCATGGGTCTAGTGAGTCGCCCCCCTCTCTCGTCGTCCCCTGTGTCAGGCAGTAGCAGCAGGTGTCTGAAGACAGGGGGCAGCTCTGTTCCCTACCCCCCCCCCCCCCCCTCCTGGCTCCCTCCACTTCTGTTGGGGAAGGGGAGTGTGAAAGAGACTGGCCGTGAAGACTGAAGTGACAGGCTCCTTTAGAGTTCCACTCAACCCTTTTATTTTGAAGGCATCAGTGCTGGTATCATGATGACTGTTTCTGGTTGTCTATTCTGCCCATGTATTTGTGTCTAGACTCTAAATCAGTTTATGAGTATGAAAATGTATGCACTCACTGTAAGTCGCTCTGGATAAGAGTAAAATGTAAAATGAGAATCTCTTGTCTCTCCATCCCATAATAGATAGTCCATCAGCGCCAATTCCTCTTCAGTAGTTATACTGTACTATCCTCTCTGTTTATGCTGGTTTAATCCAGTCCATGCTGGGATAATCCTCCTGTTCATATCTGCCTAAAAATACCACGTACATATCAAGTCTCCCTTTATGTTTTTACTCCATGAACTGTTGTGAATGGTCCTCTATGCCCACTGTTTCCTGGCAACAGCATCTCTCTCTCTTGCTCTGTCTGTCTCTACACACCACCACCCCATCCCCTACCCATACACAGACACTAACTTATTCAGTCTCCCTCGCGCACTTCAGTTCACCAATCATATCCCCCTTTCATCCACACATTTCTCACCCGGCTGCTTATGCTCCACCCATTCCTGTCCTCCTTTCTCCCTTCTCCCCTTTTTCTGCCCAGCTGCAGGAGTGGACTTCCCCTCTATCGAGCATTCTGCCCTAGACAGCAGTGGTGGTGGCAGGCGGCCATGCAATGCCAGTGGGACACACCAGAAGGGCTTATATGTGGCACTTGTGTGATACATAATACACGCTTCATTTGCCACTAGGACGGATGCGTCGGGATGGACTCTGCACAGCTTGAAAATATTTTAAACAGAATATAAATGTTCACTAGGCTTATACGGATTTGAACTGAAATGGATACTTTGTAGCTATGGTTTAAACGATGAAAATCAATTGTGTCAGCACCTCTAGAGTTAAATCAAAGATGTCTATAACTAACCCAAGATAGTTCATCTCTCTCGTTTACAGTGTGAGCAAATGAAGTATAGTAGGCAGAACAAGCAAGCAGGTGGGCAAAGCCAAGCACGAGCTAGCGAGATCGTATTGGCCGTTGTTGCTCATATTTGCATATTTCCGGTAGGGAACGCCTCCTCAGTCAACCTTGCACTCCTAAACAACGCAACTTTGGCAAAGCGTGAAGTCTATAAAACTTAGTGTACTGTGTTCGTAAAATATTCTAGGTTTGGGAACATTTTTTTTTTTTTAGATACGATGTTTCATCGATGAGAAAATTAGCAGAATGTCGGCCCAGTTTCAGCTAGTGCCGTCCTCTCCCACAGTTCGCTACTAGACTTCCTCTTACTGCCACATTTGGGTGGTGAGAAAACGTTCTAAAAACCGATGCTTCAGTTTTATAGCCCCTGTGACGGGTCTGTGGTTAAATATCCAAGCGTGCGCGCGAATGGTAGCTGACGGACACGTGACAGAGAGCGGATCCTGTCTGGTGGTTCGGTTACAGTAGATGCCAAGATGGCTGCAAGCAATTATTATGGGTTCACTCATGGTGCCGGTCCGCAGTACAGGTAATTACATAGCTGCTGGCTATGGGTAGCATGCACTCATCCCGAGTCGTCGCCCCGTCTTCTTGCGACGAGTATGCCTCCAAACGCCTCATTGCTGGTGCGATATTGCTAGCTCGAGGCCTTGGGAGTGCAATGGATATGCTAGCCAGATTAGTTAGCTAACTACTGACTGTTAACCAGCAAAGCAGGTTCCAGTCTTGCCCGGCTAGGGAGCGCTTCGCACTTGGAATATAATGAAACCTCATAAAACTCTCATTCGTTTGGCAAATATGATTAACTGGCTACAGTTGCTAGCTTAATATGTATGGTAAAATGGCTAGCTAGTTAGCTTTTTTTCCCTAGTGGCAGGGACGCACGAATTAGTTGACTTCCCGAGGTGTAATCATTAGTCCAAACGATTGCGTTTTGCGAAGACAACTAAAGTTTCTATTATTGGACACATTAAGATAGTTCCCTCCCAGTTTCGTTCTGTTTGCTTCCGTTTAAGAAACGTTTTCGTTTTGCAACAATCGGCGTAATGAATACGCCCCTGGTCAGCTTCAAACTAGCAGTCACATTTTGGGCGAATATGCTAACATTTGAGGCCGTTCAGTTGTCGAACGTTGGCGTTGCACATAGAAACGCCATGAATAGAGCCAACATGATTCCTTGTTCTAAATGTAGAGGCATGTTTGTTCTACATAACATATTTCTATAACTACAGGACTCCTGATATCTCCAGGAGTGATACGTATAATTGTTTGTCTATCTGTTGTGGTCTAGTACTGTCTTTTTGCTAGCTAGGACCATCTACTTTAAGTGCTGCCCTTCTTCCCAGTAGCCACTTGGTGTGTGAACTGCTGAACCCTCATAACTTGCAGATGATTGTTGACACATCAACCATGATTAAGGGGCAGGGCAATTTGTGACTGTTGTGGTTTTGGTAATCAGTGTATCATTGCCGAAACAAAGATGGCTCTGCCGAGTTATTCCAGGAAGGAAAGAGCGGAAGACTCCACACCACTCTCTCACTTGTGTATCTTACCTAGTTATTTTCAGATGTCATTTTGCTCTTTTGTAGCCTTGGCAACTCTGTATGTTTTCTATCCCAGTTCGCTCCTCTACCTGTAGGCTTTACAGACTCTCCCCACCCGTTGGCTGCAACCCTTCTAATTTAGTGTACCATGCTCAGCCTATGCTGCCCTTCAGTCCCTAGAATTTTTGGCCCTGACGGAGACATGAATCACCCCAGAGAACACTGCTACTCCAGCTGCCCTACATGCAAAATGTGTAGAATTGTGGGAAATTTGCTTTGAAACTGCCAAATCTTCTCTCCGCCAACAAGAGGGGTGTGAACAGTTTGGTGTTGCATGGGTTGCGAGGTAGGGGTTTGTTACTACGCCGATAAATTACATTATCCATCTGGACTTTTGCCACCTAGGAAATTTGTGTGACCGGACCTTCTCAAATAGTACTTGAGTACCCCTGTCCTAGATCTATCCGCTGCCTTTGACACCGTGAACCATCAGATCCTCCTCTGCACCCTCTCAGGGCTGGGTGTCTCAGGCTCTGCACACTTGGATTGCATCCTACCTGGCAGGGCGCTCCTACCAGGTGACGTGGAGAGTATCTGTGTCTGCACCACTTACTCTCACTACTGGTGTCCCCCAGGGCTCGGTTCTAGGCCCTCTCCTCTTCTCTCTATACACCAAGTCACTTGGCTCCGTCATATCCTCACATGGTCTTTCCTATCATTACTATGCGGATGACACTCAACTACTTTTGTCCTTCCCCCCTTCTGACACCCAGGTGGCGAAACGCATCTCTGCGTGCCTGGCAGATATCTCCGCTTGGATGTCGGCCCAGCACCTCAAGCTCAACCTCGACAAGAGGGAGCTGCTTTTCCTCCCGGAAGAAGGCCTGCCCGCTCCAAGACCTCAACATCACGGTTGACAACTCCATGGTGTCCCCCTCCCAGAGTGCAAAGAACCTTGATGTGACCCTAGACAACACCCTGTCGTTCTCAGCAAAAATGAAAGCAGCGACTTGCGCCTGCAGGTTCATCCTCTACAACATCAGTAGAGTACGATCCTACCTCACACAGGAAGTGGCGCAGGTCCTAATCCAGGCACTTATCCTCTCCCGTCTGGACTACTGTAACTCGCTGTTGGCTGGGATCCACGCTGATGCCATCAAACCCCTGCAACTTATCCAGAACGCTGCAGCCCCCCCCCCCCAGTATTCAGGTTACACATTTACCATTTAGAGATGCCCTTCATAAATGTCAGTGCTTCACTTGGTATTGACAGAGCGTTTTCCGTTTCCATTGTGCCTCATTCTTCCCTCCATCTTGTCTCTGTCCCCACAGCGTTCAGCCTCCACCGGCCTTTGCCCACCCTACCACAGCCAGCTACGGTGTCCAGCCGGCCCCTGCCGTGGCCCATGCAGTGACCGCCTCCTATGCCCCTGCCCCTGCACAACCAGCCAGGCCCGTGGCCTCTGCCCCCTACCTGGCAGCATACCAGACCCACTCTGCCCCCCCAGACTATGGCTACCGGCAGCCGGACCCTACGCCCCAACCCACCACCACCCCACAGGCGTACCAGCTACCGGTATACACCGAAACGGTCAGTCCTATTTCCATTCTTTAGCATCCCGTTGCATGCTGTCATCGTCTTTTTATCTATTAGCTATTGTATATAAATGCAAGTACCTGGGGAGAGTTTTAGATTGTCCAAGTCACATTAATCCTGTGTAGCTCAGTTGGTAGGGCATGGCGCTTGCAACGCCAGGGTTGTGGGTTTGATTCCCACGGGGGACCAGTATGAAAATGTATGCACTCACTACTGTAAATCGCTCTGGATTAGAGCGTCTGCTAAATTACTAAAATGTAAAGAAAATGTGCTCTATTTTGAACACTATTTGCTATGCATATTTACTCTGTAAAACAACCTTTCAGGATAACTACAGTTACGGACGCCCACCTGCAGTCACTAGTTATGAGACTAAGCAGTACTACCAGACAAGTATAGCTCCAGCCCAGCGGACACCAACAGAAGCTTACTACCAGACAGGTGAGTCATTGTCAACCTTATTCCCATACATAATCACACAAAGAAAATCATTAACACTGCAATGCAAGAGCCACCGATTCATTTGAAATGTTCTCTCTTGTCTGAACATGACAATACATAGTGTTTTTACTGTCTTATACACTATTCATGAGAACATACTACTGTGCAAAAGAACTTGGCTGCTGATGTACTGCAAAAGCCAGTATATTGAATATCGTGGAACTGGAGCCAAGCCTGTTAAACAACACTGTGATGATGATGTCTTTCCCTTTCCTGTAGGTGTGAAGAGTGGCTACAGTCCAGTCAGCACAGTGTACAGCCAGCCCCCTCCACCACAGAGGCAAGTCACAGCTTTAAAGCCTCTGGCCCCCGCTAGCTCAGTGTCCACCAGCTACAACATCTACCCAGTGTCCACCAGTGTTCAGCAGCCTCCAACCCCCATCTCGTCTTACACCCCTTGCTCCTCCTTCAACTCCACAGCTGCCACCTCCTACTCGGGTAAGAGATAGAGCTTATTCCCACACCGCCAGAACTCCACATTTAACCCCAAGGATCAACCCTTGTGAAATTCAAGCAAGCACTGCTTGCATATTTGTCACAGCATATGTGTTTTTAGTGTGACCCCCTTCTGCCCCGTCTCAACTCTCCATCTCTCACCTTAGGCATCAGCTACTCTACCTATGACTCGAGTGGCTACACTTCCACCCCCTCCTACTACCAGCCTGCACAGCTTTCCACTCCCCAGCCGCCCCCCCAGCAGCCCCAGCCGTCCATGCAGCCACCTCACAAGCAGCTCACCAGCTCCTCCTGGAGCAACGCGGGGAGCAACATGGTGACTGCTCCCACAGTCAATGCCTACAAGAAGCCCATGTTCCACCAGAACAGGCTGCAGAAGCCCAAAGGGCCACCCAAGCAGCCCCAGCTGCACTACTGTGACATCTGCAAGATCAGCTGTGCTGGCCCGCAGGTAGTGGTGAACTGTGTGGGTGATATGTTATGAGATGGACAGGTCATTTGTTGGCAACGGACATAACGACAACAGAGTCAAATGAATGTACAGTATTTTAACATGCAACAGTTAAACATGTAACGTGCCTAAGGTGAGACATACTGTAGAAACACAGGATGGACATTCAATGTTTTTTGCAGGTTTGTTTTTCTAGGTATGTTGAATTAACTGTTGTTAAATGGTTTTCTCCGCAGACATACCGGGAACACCTCGAGGGCCAGAAGCACAAGAAGAAGGAGGCAGCTCTGAAGGCTGGCAGCGCGGGGGGGAGCAACGGGCCCCGGGGGATTCAGACCCAGCTGCGCTGTGAACTATGTGACGTTGCTTGCACTGGCGTAGACGCGTACGCCGCCCATATCCGAGGGGCCAAGCACCAGAAGGTAGCACAGCTGCACTGACAGGAGGAGCAACATCAGGCAGCTAGCTAGCTAATTGATGCACTGTTTAGCTAGCTAATTTGTCTAGATCAGCTCTGTGATAGTTGCACATGTTGGTGTATCATTAGTGTAACACTTTTAATCAGGTATTTGTGATATCCCACCTCACAATTTTTTATAATGTGTTATTTCTCTCCTTCACCCTGTGTAGGTGGTGAAGCTCCACACCAAACTAGGCAAACCTATACCGTCAACTGAGCCCATTTTAGTGAACAATGCTCCAATTATCTCAACGTCGACCGCTGGGAAGACGACCCCTATTGTCGTCAAGGCAGCTGCACCTGTAGCGCCACCCAAACCGGTGGTCGTAAACGCCGTCAAGGCCCCATTATCTGTGAAGAAGCCAATCACACCCAAAATAACCCTTCTTGGTAAGTCTTCCAAAAAAATCAGTTTTTAGTAGTTGGGATTATGATATTATCTGTGCTGACAGATTAAACCAATGATGGATCATTTAAGCAGTAATTCTGGACTCACAAACGGCACTTCTAAGTTGCACCTTACTAATATTTGGCCTTCCTCTTGACAGCCAACAAGCCTGCCACCCCTCCATCAGCCAAGGTGGATGAGGCCAAGCAGTCAGCAACAGTTTCTAAGAGCGAGACCACGAGTGACGATGAGGATGGAGATGGAGTGGGGGGACAAGGGGACGTCCAGCCTGTGGGACATGACTATGTGGAGGAGGTAGGAGTTATTTTTAATGTATTTGTATTCACTAATCATTTTGTAAAAGATGCGAAGGTTATGGTATGTTCTAATGCAAGTTTCCGTTTTGATGATGGGAAGGTGCGTAATGATGATGGGAAGGTGATTCGCTTTCACTGTAAACTCTGTGAATGCAGTTTCAATGACCCCAACGCTAAAGACATGCACCTGAAGGGACGCAGGCACCGGCTGCAGTACAAGGTAAGATGTTTCTAGAGCTAACCGCTATGTACTACAATGCACTTATTGTGCTGGCAAAATTTATTGACTGAAAAACATAAACATTGAACCCTGTGACCTGTTGTACAAGCATGTCAAGTCACTGCAAAACTATCACCACTAGATGGCAGACTTTGTTTAGGCAGGATGTAGACATTGCTTGCAATGTCCTGTAGCCCCCTTGTCATTTGGCTCTCAGTTGAATTATGTCATTCACATTTACATCTACACATCAAATTATAATTTATTTCCATTATGGCTCTATGCCTACCTCTCAGTTCGAGAGCCTGCTACTCACTAGGTGTGTGAGTGTGTGTGTGAATGTATGAATGACAGCTATTGACATTGTTACTATCCCTTCCTTCCCCTCCTATAGAAGAAGGTGAACCCAGAGCTGCCGGTGGAGATCAAGCCCAGTAACCGGGCAAGGAAACTGCAGGAGGGCAAACTGAGGAAACAGAAACAGAAGGCTGTGCTGAAGAGACAAAGGGATGATGAGCAGCGCTGGCACTTGGAGATGAGGTCAGAGCCAGACAGCAGCTGGCACACAGAGATGAGGTCAGAGTCCTTGCTTAGGCATAGATCACGCTTACTCACCCCAAAAACCTAGTGTCATCCATTTGGGGGTTAAATGGATAGTGTGAGATTTTGGCAATTAAGCCCTTTTCTACTTACCCAAAGTCAGATGAACTCATGGATACCATTTTTATGTGTCTGCGTGCAGTTTGAAGGGAGTTGCTAACTAGCGTTATCGAAATTGCTAACTAGCATTAGCGCAGTGACGAAGTCTACAGATACAGCTGTACCTGTAGACTTCCAGTCATTGCGCATCGTAGCTATACTTATAGACATCCAGTCATTGCGCTAACGCTAGTTAGCAATGGCTCGCAAAACTACCTTCAACTTCCTTCAAACTGCACGCAGAGACATAAAAAAAAACGTAACCCTATCCATGAGTTCATCTGACTGGGTAAGTAGAAAAAGGACTTACGGTCTGAGCAGTGCTTAGGGGTAACTTCTTCCTATAGTGTTTTTTCTTGGCCATGATTTCAGAGGAAGGCAGAGCAGGGGAACCCTGCTGCTGGGTCCACTACCCATATCGTTCTGAAGCCCATGCTCTCAGTGTGGTTCAACCACAAGAGAATTCCCCTGCCTTCCTCAGTAATAAAGAAATGTTCCTCTTATTATGCCAGTTCCCATTTTCAATACATTTCCTCCTAATATCGTAATATAGAATGCCTGCAACATCTTAAGTGATGAGAACTCTTGATTCCTCCAGCATTATCTGGCCAAATGCCTTTCAACAGTCTCAAAGATGCTCCTGATCAGCATTTTCACCTAACAGACAGGTATCTCAGCAGAAGAATCTACCCAGTCTGAATATTTAATAATCCTGTGCTGTATGTGTCTCCTCTGCCAGGCGCTATGAGGAGGACATGTACTGGAGGAGGATGGAGGAGGAGCAGCTATACTGGGGGGAGCAGAGACACAGGATGCCCCCCCCTCCACTCATGAGCCGGCCTGGCATGCCAGTGCCCCCCCTACTGGTGAAATCAATGATTAAATCCAATCAATCAATCAATGTTCGGTTTACATGAACTTGATCGCTAGAGGAAAAACTGGTGCAACCAGGATTTATGTATTTAGCTTTTCAGTTTGTTTCCAGAAGTGTTTCGTTGTAGAGAGCACCTGGTTTTATTCAGCTCTTCTCTTCTCCCCTTAGCAGCCTGTGCGTCGGCCGGACTCCCCAGACGACCGCCACATCATGGCCAAACACTCCACCATCTACCCTGTGGAGGAGGAACTGCAGACGGTGCAGAGGATTGTGTCCCACTCTGAGAGAGCCCTCAAACTGGTGTCTGACTCCCTGCTGGAGAAAGAGCCCCCCGCTGCTGCTCCTAAGACTGATACAGAGGCTGATGCTGGTGAAAAAGGGTAAGAGCTATATGGGTTTTGTACTAGTTCTCTACCTCGTTATCTTTCTCTCTGTTTCTCTAAATCCATCTCACTTCCACACACAATGTTCTATACAACACATTTCCATTGGAATGTTCTGTAATGCTGTACCCTCCTGATGTGGGCCATGGGCAAGTAGTAGGGCTGGGTGCTGCTTTAAGATTGCAATCGTCTTTCGACGATGTTTGACAGCCATCGTCGATGGTGATGACATCGTGATGCCACAAATTATGGTTTTAGCATATTTGCGTTTGTTTGCTGCACAACAGCGCAGCGCAGTGAGCACACAGCAGGACGACATGCAAAAAGGCCTATTCCCTATTTGCCATAGCCTAATACATTTCAATACTTATGTGGTAGTTAGACTTCACATAATGCAAAAGATAATGTAGATTGTAGAAAGAGCAGAGAGCACCAAAGCTGCGCAAAATGTCAGATCGGGTCTAGTGTGTGTCCCCAATGTCGGATGATCATGGGTGTTTTGCAGTGGGCACTCCGTTGTCTGATAATTTCCCCTTTTCTCTCCAATCCCTGTTCGATTTTAAATGTGACTTGTCATACTAGCCTACTCTTTCACTATCAACATCAAATTAATCTATAGGTCTAACGGAGTTCCATCTCAAAGTTGTTTGTGAATATCCTGAATAAAAACATAGTTATAATGAGAGAGAGAGAACAAAGCAAGATGGACAAATCGAATAGGAAGTTTAAACTAACCTGGTACGTTTCTGCTTTACTTGACCAAAGTGTAGGCAAAATAAATTTAGCAGACGGAAAATCCCTCCTTGCAAACCAAAAAGCCAATAATATAGGCCTACACACAGTCTACTGTCAATAAAAGTTGCAGTAAAAGTTACTTTGACAAGTTAAACGTATAAACGAATATGTATAAAACTGTTGACGTGTTTATTACTGTCCTTGAATTGTCTAACGGGCAATCGGGCATAATCTCCCGCAGCAGCACTTTCAATAATCGGGAACAAAACATGAATGATCAGTGTGTTTCAATAGCTTACAAATTGTGCATTTATATAAAAGTCAACAACGATCAGATAGTGAGGGGGAAAAAAGTATTTGATCCCCTGCTGATTTTGTAAGTTTGCCCACTGACAAAGAAATGATCAGTCTATAATTTTAATGGTAGGTGTATTTGAACAGTGAGAGACAGAATAACAACAAAAATCCAGAAAACCGCATGTCAAAAATGTTATAAATTGATTTGCATTTTAATGAGGGAAATAAGTATTTGACCCCCTGTCAATCAGAAAGATTTCTGGCTCCCAGGTGTCTTTTATACAGGTAACGAGCTGAGATTAGGAGCACACTCTTAAAGGGAGTGCTCCTAATCTCAGCTTGTTACCTGTATAAAAGACACCTGTCCACAGAAGCAATCAATCAATCAGATTCCAAACTCTACACCATGGCCAAGACCAAAGAGCTCTCCAAGGATGTCAGGGACAAGATTGTAGACCTACACAAGGCTGGAATGGGCTACAAGACCATCGCCAAGCAGCTTGGTGAGAAGGTGACAACAGTTGGTGCGATTATTCGCAAATGGAAGAAACACAAAAGAACTGTCATTCTCCCTCGGCCTGGGGCTCCATGCAAGATCTCACCTCATGGAGTTGCAATGATCATGAGAACGGTGAGGAATCAGCCCAGAACTACACGGGACGATCTTGTCAATGATCTCAATGCAGCTGGGACCATAGTCACCAAGAAAACAATTGGTAACACACTATGCCGTGAAGGACTGAAATCATGCAGCGTCCGCAAGGTTCCCTGCTCAGGAAAGCACATATACAGGGCCGTCTGAAGTTTGCCAATGAACATCTGAATGATTCAGAGGAGAACTGGGTGAAAGTGTTGTGGTCAGATGAGACCAAAATGGAGCTCTTTGGCATCAACTCAACTCGCCTTGTTTGGAGGAGTAGGAATGCTGCCTATGACCCCAAGAACACCATCCCCGCCGTCAAACATGGAGGTGGAAACATTATGCTTTGGGGGTGTTTTTCTGCAAAGGGGACAGGACAACTTCACCTCATCAAAGGGACGATGGACAGGGCCATGTACCGTAAAATCTTGGGTGAGAACCTCCTTCCCTCAGCCAGGGCATTACAAATGGGTCATGGATGGGTATTCCAGCATGACAATGACCCAAAACACAGGGCCAAGGCAACAAAGGAGTGGCTCAAGAAGAAGCACATTAAGGTCCTGGAGTGGCCTAGCCAGTCTCCAGACCTTAATCCCATAGAAAATCTGTGGAGGGAGCTGAAGGTTCGAGTTGCCAAACGTCAGCCTCGAAACCTTAATGACTTGGAGAAGATCTGCAAAGAGGAGTGGGACAAAATCCCTCCTGAGATGTGTGCAAACCTGGTGGGCAACTACAAGAAACGTCTGACCTCCAACTGATTGCCAACAAGGGTTTTGGCCCTGTGTAGCTCAGTTGGTAGAGCATGGCGCTTGCAGGGTTGTGGGTTAGTTTCCCACGGGGGGCCAGTATTAAAAAATGTATGCACTCACGAACTGTAAGTCGCTCTGGATAAGAGCGTCTGCTAAATGACTAAAATGTAAGTACTAAGTCATGTTTTGCAGAGGGGTCAAATACTTATTTCCCTCATTAAAATGCAAATCAATTTATAACATTTTTGACATGCGTTTTTCTGGATTTTTTTGTTGTTATTCTGTCTCACTGTTCAAATAAACCTACCATTAAAATTATAGACTGATCATGTCTTTGTCAGTGGGCAAACATACAAAATCAGCAGGGGATCAAATACTTTTTTCCCTCACTGTAACAAATTATTATTTAGCCTATAACATTCTTTAACCTCTTAAATGTAATAGCAAAAGTTAGATTTCCGCCTAAATAGACATACCCAAAAGTAACTGCTATTCATGTGTAATTACATGATTCTGACATGCCAAAACTAGGAAAGAAGACATCTGGGAAATAATGAGGATCAGAAGATGGATAGGAGTTACATAGTTCAGAATACACAAGATCAAGCACACACAAAATAACAGTTTTCTTATTTTTAAAGTAATCTTTCATTGACAAGCTATAAGTGGATTATTGATGCCCAGAGCTGGAAACACATCAGATGGCTTCCACAACATTTACATTTAAATTTTAGTCATTTAGCAGACACTCTTATCCAGAGCGACTTACAGTTAGTGAGTGCATACATTTTCATACTGGCCCCCCGTGGGAAACGAACCCACCACCCTGGCGTTGCAAGCACCATGCTCTACCAACTGAGCTACAGGGGACTAATATCAGGAAAAAATGGGATTGATAGACCTAACAACTAGAAATGGGCAGATGTTTTAGTGTTGTCAGGTGTGGTCACGGGACGTTTCCAAGTGTCCCTAAACCTCTCCAAAGTGGCATATGTCTGTGAATTAGATAATTCCACTGCTATTACATATTGGCAATCCGTAAATGCTATTTGTTCAGTATAAAAACACAATTTCTACCATATCAACCTCACTCGAACATTGTGGTGGTGTTATGGGGTATCCAGGGTACATGTCCTTTCAACCTCTCCAAAGTGTCTGAATGTGGTAATTGCACTGTTTTTGCACACTTGATATGCCTAAAAGTTATTGTTCACTATAAAAACAAAATTTTTACAACACCAACCTCTTTCAAACATTGTGGTGGTGTTGCGGGACATACAGGGAATATCCAAGTGTTTTTTTTTCAACCTCTCCAAAGTGCCTGAATGTTTAGCCTAGACATATCCAATGTATTGGTCCCACATACAAATGAACTGTTTACAAAAACAATATAAAAGCAACAGATATACATTTTAAAAAATTATGTCTTATCAAACACAAACTTGGTTACACACCTGTTCTTCACTAAAAAAGGTGCAAAAATATAAATAAGCGGAACTATTTACAAATGGCATTCGTGTTCGTTTTACATCCCAGGTGTAGATGATTAGATTTCACTTTCACCGTAGCTTGTGCATGTTGTAAAAGTCTTTGAAGCAGTCCCTCTCTGCCAGGAAACAAAAAGCGAACTGGGATTTCAGAAAGAAGATCGACATTTCACGCTTTTTTCCCCCCTGTGTTTTGTGCAATACTTGCAGTTCTTCCTTTTTGTCTTTTGGCATGTGTGTTGGATAGTGGGGGGGGGTCTTGTGATGGTTGAGGTTGCTTTGGGCCCCCAATTCAGCCATTTCCAACACCAGCTGCTCTCGGAAGGCCAACTGGGAGAGAGGGGTTTGACCTTTTGCTTTGGCCATCTGCTTGTGGAGAATGAAAGCATTTACTGTAGCAATGTCCACAAAGTGGTAAAAAAAAAGTATTATACAACTTCCTGGTCTTGTGGAGGACCTGGTAGTAGCATATCATAGCATCAGATAGGTCGACACCCCACGTGTTGGCATTGTAGTCCTTCACAGAAACAGGAATGGGGACATTCTTCCTTTTTCTCCCTCCTTGAGACATGGTCGTTATTGAATGCCTTCTACTGTGTGGTGAGCATGGTTACTTCCCTAGTGTTCTTCCATTTCACAAAAAGCAGCTTGTTAGTCCTGATCCAACGTATGGTCCCCCTCTCCGCTGTCTTTGTCATGTTGTTTACCTTGGTCTTGGGGAAACCGATTATTTTAGGACGAATGGTGCCACAAGCCCCTATGTTCTTTTTGAAGAGGTCTATGAAAATTGAATGTAGAACCATCAGACGGGGTGATTTACTTAGTAGTGGGGGGTGAAGACCTTGACCGGCGAGGGCGCTTGCTGGGCAGGTGTGGCTCCCAAACGTCAGCATCCAAATAGTCTGCATCCTCAGCTCTGTGGTGAATAAAATAGAGAAATATTGTTGTAAGACACAGAATTACAGTTGACTAAATTTACAAAATGACATTACTGTAAAGTAAAAACACCAAGCCTAAACTTTATCTGTACAGTGACTCACATAGGTGTGACGCACACACACAATGCAAACAGTAACACTTTGGAGACAAAGGCAGAGGTGAGAACCACAAATAAACAAAGGCCATGAGAGGATGAAACTCAGAACAGCAAACCGTGAACTAATATAAAACATAGACAATAACTACTTTGGAATTATATAACGTTGAAATTACTTGTTACATAGGCCTATAAACTAAATCCAAAGCACAAAAAGCAGACAATTTATAAAAAACGAAATATATATATATATATATATATATACACACACACACAGTAAATTAGCTATGTAAAGTCATGGAAATAATTTACTTACAGATCTAAAAGTGAATCCAATTTGGTCAGGTCTGCTGGCTCACCTTTATCATTCGGCCTGAAACCAAAGAACTGCCAAACAGGCAAAGACGTGCTTTTCTTTCCCACCAAGTCAGCCATAGTTTTTTAATGATTTAGCATAAGGCAGTCTGAAACTGTCGGAAAGTAGCCTAATGGAAGAAAGAATGTTGCAAATACGCTTACCCAGATCAAGATTAAATGACAATCAGTCTACACCAGGGGTGTCAAACGTCCGGCCCGCAAACGGGTTTAATCCGGCCCGCGAGATGATTGGCGCAATAGCAATTGTGTTAAGCAAGCAAACTGTTTATACCGGGGCAGAGCAAGTAGGTCAAGCACGTGCAGCCAATGAGCTACTTTGTTTTACCCACGATATTTATTACGGCTTCTACTTTTAACATTATGTGCTTTGGCACCCTCATTGCCCCAATATGTCTCTGTCAAAAAAGAGAAAAGTGGACGCAGAGTGCAGAGTGTTCCAAGAAAAATGGTCATCCTATTTATTCACGGAATTGAATGGGAAAGCTGTATGTTTGGTGTGTTCAGAGCATGTTGCAGTGCTGAAAGAATATAACCTTTGTCGCCACTATGTGAGTCTTCATGCCGACAAATATGACAACTTTCAAGGACAGCGGAGATGAGAGAAGGTGAATGAACTGTTGGCGGGTCTGAAGAAACAGCAGTCTGTGTTTACTCACAGCCGAGACATCAGTGACGCTGCAGTGAAAGCTAGCTACCTCATTGCTAATGAAATCGCAGTGGCTTCAAAACCATTTAGTGAGGGTGAATTTGTAAAAACATGCATGATGAAGGCAGCGGAGATTGTGTGCCCTGAAAAGCGGCAGGCTTTTGCAAATATCAGCCTGACAAGAAACACAGTTGCAGACAGGATTTCCGATCTTTCAGTGGATTTGGACAGCCAGTTGAAGCAAAAAGTAAAGTCATTTATTGCGTTTTCGGTTGCAATTGATGAAAGCACGGACATTAGATGTTGCACAACTGGCCATTTTCATCCGCGGAGTTGATGACACATTGACCGTCACCGAGGAGTTCGTGGAGTTGGTGCCGATGACAGATACAACGACAGCAGCTGATATTTTTACCGCACTCGTCGGCGCGCTGGACAGGGTCGGAGTGGACTGGTCCCGCGCTGTCAGTCTGGCTACAGATGGTGCGCCCTCAATGATCGGGAAAAAAGCAGGCGTTGTGACAAAGTTCAGAGAGAAAGTGCAATCTGCAAATGGAGGACGTGATTTTTTGACTTTTCACTGTATTTTGCACCAGGAGGCTTTGTGTTGCAAGTCATTAAAGATGGATAACGTCATGAAGGTGGTCATCCAAACTGTTAATTTCATCCGATCCAGAAGCCTGAATCACCGTCAGTTTGACAGCCTTCTCAGAGAGAAAGACCACATCTATGGCCTGCCATACCACACTGAGGTAAGATGGTTAAGCCGAGGTGCTGAGGTGTTTCTTTGATTTACGAGAAGAAATTGAACAGTTCATGGAAGAAAAGGGCAAACCAGTGTTAGAATTTCATTCTGCAGAATGGATGCAGGACCTTGCATTTATGGTGGATGTTACAGAGCACCTGAATAACTTGAACAAACAGCTGCAAGGGCGCAACAAAGTTGTCACGCAGTATTATGACAGCATACGTTCTTTCAAGTTGAAGCTGTCATTGTGGGAGACGCAACTTGCCGGTGGTGATGCAGCTCACTTCCCCTGTCTGAAAAATGTGTGCGCGACCCAACGTGGCAGACATGAAGCGGTTCAAAGATAAAATAACGGGACTGTTACGGGAGTTTGAGCAACGCTTTCAGATTTATGTTTATGTTTTTATGTTGATGTGCTATTGTTTTTAATTGTTTTAATTTTATTTGTATATTTAACCTATTCTTGACTCTGTGGTTCTTGCACTTGTTTGGGGAACAGGATTTCATTATTTTTATCTACATTTCTGCCTGAGAAATGACACCCTGATATAGTTCTGTGATATACTTCTGTGAATCACTGAGGCATTGTGTGTTTGTGTGTTCTTTGTCCTCAGAACTTTCAAATAACTTGAGGTGTTTTATGATTAATAGTGATGTTGTGCTTTTGGACACTGTCCTCAGGCTCCAGCTTTATGTTTATGTTTTTATGTTGATGTGCTATTGTTTTTAATTGTTTTTTATTTTATTTGTATATTTAACCTATTCTTGACTCTGTGGTTCTTGCACTTGTTTGGGGAACAGGATTTCATTATTTTTATCTACATTTCTGCCTGAGAAATGACACCCTGATATAGTTCTGTGATCTGTGAAACAGTTCTGTTAATCACTGAGGCATTGTGTGTTCTTTTTCTTTAGAATTTTCAAATAAACTTGACGTGTTTTATGATTAATAGTGATGTTGTGCTTGTACTATTTTGGACACACTGTCCTCAGGCTCCAGCTTTATGTTGTATGTTGATCGTATTAAAACAAAGAAAACAATCTGAAGTTGTTGTTCTTAAGTTATATATACCATGTGGCCCTGAGCTAAAATGAGTTTGACACCCCTGGTCTACACTATTGTGTATAATATTTTAAAGTAGGCTAATATAACTAATATGAATCATAGCTCTTCCAATTTGAAAATCATGCTGCCTAGACTAGATTTAAAAATAAAAGTAGGTCAAACACTGTTTAGGCCTAGCAATGTGTCCTTTATATTGCGTTCTTCCTGCCAATTGACCCCTCTTGGAGCAACGCGATACAATAGACGATACGATTGTATTTCAATGATGTTTGGACAGGACAATGGGACGATGTGTCATTCCAGACATCGCCCAACCATAGCATGTAGCCTGATGTATATTTTTCCTTTACCCATCCCTGCTTGACCTCTGATCCCTGGTGTGTAGACCTGACACTCAGGCGGCCCGTATGCTGAAGGGGGTGATGAGGGTCGGCATTCTGGCCAAGGGCCTGCTGCTCAACGGGGACAGGAACGTGGAGCTCATCCTGCTGGCTGCCAAGAAGCCCACCCTCTCTCTACTGAACGACATCGCTGAGCAGCTGCCCAAAGAACTGATGGTAAGATGATTATCAGCTTCCCTTAAGTGGAATCATATCTTTTGGGATCCACTGTGTATGAGATGGAGGTGGGGTTTTCTACATGCAGTTGGATTATACACCAGAAAATAACACATCAACCATTATAAGGAACAGTTAGGGACTTTTCCCCATCTTTGATGCAATTTGGTCAAAAGAGGAAATCTGATTTTCATTATAAAATGACAAACCACAACTCTTGACGTCATGTCATGTCATGAGGTTGTCGTCAGGGCTGCACCAACACTAGAAAAGGAACGTACTGTAAGATCACACTGTATCATTAATGATTCAAGGAGAGTGGTTTCCCCTCTGTCTGTACTGCAGAGCTCAGTTCATAAACCTGCAATCTTATTTGAACAGTAAAACATGTATTTGCATCTGTGGTGCCTGAGATGCCAAGAGTAGTGCTGATGGGACACAATACCAGTCTGTGCCTTACCAGTGGTCACAACATCTAGACTACAGATGGGCATCAAGACTATTCAAGAAGAAACAGTCAATGAAAGGACCTATACCAAAAAACATGGGTTAAAATAGTGTTTGTTTTCTTTCATATGCTTTAGCTTACGCTTGATTGCGCTATGAGCTTGTCTGGCACAATGGAATAGTCAACAAAAATGATTGCTGAATTTCACATTTGGCACTCCAGCAGGTTCAATTAAATGTCCAAAGCATTTAAAAGAAAACAAATACTATTTGAACCCAGGCTTTATAACAAATGAAATGTGTATATTAGACTGTGGTGTGTGTTGCATTTCCTTCCTCCCTCTGAATTCTGGTATAATAGTGTTTTTCATCAGAAGTGCTTTTGACTGATCTTTAGTGCCACTGCCTGGTTATGAGTCATGACACATGAACCCTACAGAGACTAGGGCTATAGTTAAACATGTACTCCCCTAAGGTTACATAAGCCATAAAAATAAACGTGTTTTATAGAATTACTGTCTCTTAAACATTTGTCCACTTGCATAAGATTATCTAAATGGGCCTTTTTAAAAGCTAAATGCAGCTATTGAGAAATGATTTGAATTTCTGCCCCCCAGCCCAAAAAGATTCCCCCCCCCCCCCCCCTCTAGTGAGTAATCCAAAGTGTCCTTTTAACCGGCAGACATTTTCTGAAGATCAGTATGAGGTACAGGCTCACCCTGAGGAAGCCAACATCGTGATTTTTTCGAGCAAGGAGCCAAAAATGCAGGTCACCATCTCTCTAACTTCGCCACTGATGAGGGAGGACCCTGCCCCTGAGAAGGAGGAAAAGGCAGGAGACAAAGCGGCTGAGAAAGGTTAGAGAAGCCAAGCTTTCAGTCCAATAAATGCACTGTATGTCTCCCAAAGCTCATACTCAACAAAAAGAAGAAGAAATGGGACTTTTAACCAAGCCCATATTGATTTTCATCCAAATGTGGTAGATATCGTAGAATAACACTTTTGTTTCTCCCCTCCCGGCCTCCGAAGGTATGAAGTAAATTGACTCGCCCATTCATTTCTGTCTTGTTTTAATTTATCCATTATTTCCAGTACCAGTAGTCCTTCTGTTTTCCACTTTACTTTCTCCGACATGGAAATCTAAAGCAGGGCTCTCCGACCTTTCTATGCCATTTGTGTGTGAATGTGTGTGTCTATGGACACATGCCCAGGTGAAACCATGAAAAACAATGGAAGTGATAAACTATACAAAGATAATGCCCAGGGATGAGTGTGCGTCTATTAACATGACATGCAGGAATAATTGTATCACTTTTGATATACATTTGAATGTTATTTTGTTCCTATTAATCTCCATCTAGGCTAATGTCAATTTCCATAATCTTATCAACAGTTAGTCAATAGTTGCTAATGGAGTTTTAAGAGATCCCATGACCATCCCTCCATCTCTCATCCCTGTTAACTGAAACGGCATCAACAAAGTATTGATTGACAAGGTGTTGGAGTGTCATTCTATCCCCACACAATGGTCTCTATTGAAGTTGGGACTAGATTATTGAATTGATTAGTCTGCTATACAGTTAAACCCGTCGCATTGCGGCATACTCTTAGAACCATTGTGAGATGCAAAACACTCCCTCACCTATGTGAGCTGATCTCACCTTTTTCTATCACTGTAAATACCCTTACTTGGAAAAGGTTTCAAATTATATTTCCCATTGCTTAAGTTGTGGTGTTTGGGTTTGTTGATCAGTATGTCCGCCTGTATCAGCAGACCTTGGCAAACATACAGTATGTACATGCATTTCCCCCTGTAACAGAGGCGCTAACATCTACCACTCTTGCCACAACAGTCTCTAGGAACATGGAAAGCCCTATTGTACAACTGTAGCTTATCTTGTGAAATTACATTTAGCCACAGCTCTAAATGACTAAGAAGTTACCATTTGGCATTCCATATGTCTATTCAGTTCAATATGTATATTGATAAATAGCATGATATGGCAATGGATGCATTAAGAACATCAAGTCCCAAATTGAATGCATTATTGGCACATTTTCTTACCATGGAAGTGATTTGTGGTAAAACGGTCTATGACCTAATAGTTGAATTACCCTGTTTGTCATATTTTGTTAATCAACACATCCAATGCAATCACTTAATATTTCCTCCTGACTTTCTTTATCTCTGTTATTACCCATAACTCATGAGAAACTGGGTGAAACAGTACTGTAGGTGGCTCTGATGGACACATTCATATGAGTGATAGAGCAGTAATCAATGAGCCAGTGTGTTCCTCCTATCCTACTGTAGGGGTGCCTGAGAAAGACCCTCCTGATGTTCTGAACCGAAGGAAGTGCCTGGAGTACCTAGCTGCTCTGAGACACGCCAAGTGGTTCCAGGTAAAGAGAATATGTACAATGGCAAACAACATGTTCACTCCTAAGTATCCCGAGTCCCAGATCGTGACTAAGACAGCAATGGAGTTGGCAAGACAGCACAAACAGATCTGGGACAGCCTAATGCCTAAGTACTGAGTCCCAGAATCTTCATAAACATGATCCATAAACAGGGCCTAGGTAAAACTCCAGGCCCTAGTTATAGCTTGTCTGTGTATAACAGTGCACTGTAACAGGTGTTGACTTGTCTTTTGTGTGTGTGGTATCTACAGGCTCGTGCCAACGGTCTTCAGTCCTGTGTGATCATCATTAGACTGTTACGTGATCTGTGCCAGCGAGTTCCAACCTGGGGCAAGATGCCAGCCTGGGTGAGGATGTTCTGTCTCAATGTTCAGCTTTTTTAACTAAGCTAATTGACGTTAAAGTTCTTAATTGTGTGTTGTGTGTCTTACGTGGTGTGTGTGGACTCCCTGTGTTCAGGCTATGGAGCTGCTGGTAGAGAAGGCCATCAGCAGTGCCACGGGGCCCCTCAGCCCAGGGGAAGCCATGCGTAGGGTCCTGGAGTGTATTGCCACGGGCATTCTGCTGCCAGGTGAGGGAGTTTGCTAGTATTATTTGTTAGTATTGGTTAGCCAGGGTGGGATCACCCCACATTTACTGCAGTTCTGTTTTGCCCCACCTGGAACCTCTTTGTTCTCTAGTGCTTCCTACTGGTCATTCAGGGTCCAAGGAAAGAAATAAAGGGGAAACTTGAATTTTGAACTGTACAGTGTGCTTTGTCAGCGGTATACATAGCTAGCAGTGTTACTTTACATTCTTGAAGCAGAAGTTGTTCAGAGCGGTGGTATGTAAGCAGTGAGTGGAACAATATAAATAATGTAGCAGTAGTCATATATATATACATACATACATACATACATACTGTCTTGCGAAAGTATTCACCCCCCTTGGCATGTTTCCTATTTTGTTGCCTTACAACCTGGAATTAAAATGGATTTTTGGGGGGTTTGTATCATTTGATTTACACAACATGCCTACCACTTTGAAGATGCAAAATATTTTTTATTGTGATACAAACAAGAAATAAGACAAAAAAACAGAACTTGAGCGTGCATAACTATTCACCCCCGCGAAGTCAATACTTTGTAGAGCCACCTTTCCAAGCAATTACAGCTGCAAGTCTCTTGAGGTATGTCTCTATAAGCTTGGCACAGCTAGCCACTGGGATTTTTGCCTATTCTTCAAGGCAAAACTCCTTCAAGTTGGATGGGTTCCGCTGGTGTACAGCAATCTTTAAGTCATAACACAGATTCTCAATTGGTTTGAGGTCTGGGCTTTGACTAGGCTATTCCAAGACATTTAAATGTTTCCCCTCACACACTCAAGTGTTGCTTTAGCAGTATGCTTAGGGTCATTGTTCTGCTGGAAGGTGAACCTCCATCCCAGTCTCAAATCTCTAGAAGACTGAAACAGGTTTCCCTCAAGAATTTCCCTGTTTCTGATTTTTTTTATTTTTATAACCCAACCCTGATCTGTACTTCTCCACAACTTTGTCCCTGACCTGTTTGGAGAGCTCCTTGGTCTTCATGGTGCCCCTTGCTCGGTGGTGCCCCTTGCTCGGTGGTGCCCCTTGCTCGGTGGTGCCCCTTGCTCGGTGGTGCCCCTTGCTTGGTGGTGTTGCAGACTCTGGGGCCTTTCAGAACAGGTGTACATATACTGAGATCATGTGACAGATTATGTGACACTTAGATTGCACACAGGTGGACTTTATTTAACTTATTATGTGACTTCTGAAGGTAATTGGTTGCACCATATCTTATTTAGGGGCTTCATAGCAAAGGGGGTGAATACATATGCACGCACCACTTTTCCTTTATTTATTTTTTAGAATATTTTGAAACAAGTAATTTTTTTCACTTCACCAATTTTGACTATTTTGTGTATGTCCATTTATATGAAATCCAAATAAAAATCCATTTAAATTACAGGTTGTAATGCAACAAAATAGGAAACACGCCAATGGGGATGAATACTTTTGCAAGGCACTGTACATACAGTGGGGAAAAAAAAGTATTTAGTCAGCCACCAATTGTGCAAGTTCTCCCACTTAAAAAGATGAGAGAGGCCTGTAATTTTCATCATAGGTACACGTCAACTATGACAGACAAATTGAGAAAAAAAATCCAGAAAATCACATTGTAGGATTTTTAATGAATTTATTTGCAAATTATGGTGGAAAATAAGTATTTGGTCACCTACAAACAAGCAAGATTTCTGGCTCTCACAGACCTGTAACTTCTTCTTTAAGAGGCTCCTCTGTCCTCCACTCGTTACCTGTATTAATGGCACCTGTTTGAACTTATCAGTATAAAAGACACCTGTCCACAACCTCAAACAGTCACACTCCAAACTCCACTATGGCCAAGACCAAAGAGCTATCAAAGGACACCAGAAACAAAATTGTAGACCTGTACCAGGCTGGGAAGACTGAATCTGCAATAGGTAAGCAGCTTGGTTTGAAGAAATCAACTGTGGGAGCAATTATTAGGAAAGGGAAGACATACAAGACCACTGATAATCTCCCTCGATCTGGGGCTCCACGCAAGATCTCACCCCGTGGGGTCAAAATGATCACAAGAACGGTGAGCAAAAATCCCAGAACCACACGGGGGGACCTAGTGAATGACCTGCAGAGAGCTGGGACCAAAGTAACAAAGCCTACCGTCAGAAACACACTACGCCGCCAGGGACTCAAATCCTGCAGTGCAAGACGTGTCCCCCTGCTTAAGCCAGTACATGTCCAGGCCCGTCTGAAGTTTGCTAGAGTGCATTTGGATGATCCAGAAGAGGATTGGGAGAATGTCATATGGTCAGATGAAACCAAAATATAACTTTTTGGTAAAAACTCAACTTGTCGTGTTTGGAGGACAAAGAATGCAAAGAACACCATACCTACTGTGAAGCATGGGGGTGGAAACATCATGCTTTGGGGATGTTGTTCTGCAAAGGGACCAGGACGACTGATCTGTGTAAAGGAAAGAATGAATGAGGCCATGTATCGTGAGATTTTGAGTGAAAACCTCCTTCCATCAGCAAAGGCATTGAAGATGAAACGTGGCTGGGTCTTTCAGCATGACAATGATCCCAAACACACCACCCGGGCAACGAAGGAGTGGCTTCGTAAGAAGCATTTCAAGGTCCTGGAGTGGCCTAGCCAGTCTCCAGATCTCAACCCCATAGAAAATCTTTGGAGGGAGTTGAAAGTCTGTGTTGCCCAGCGACAGCCCCAAAACATCACTGCTCTAGAGGAGATCTGCATGGAGGAATGGGCCAAAATACCAGCAACAGTGTGTGAAAAACTTGTGAAGACTTACAGAAAACGTTTGACCTGTGTCATTGCCAACAAAGGGTATATAACAAATTATTGAGAAACTTTTGTTATTGACCAAATACTTATTTTCCACCATAATTTGCAAATAAATTCATTAAAAATCCTACAATGTGATTTTCTGGATATTTTTTTCTCATTTTGTCTGTCATAGTTGACGTGTACCTATGATGAAAATTACAGGCCTCTCATCTTTTTAAGTGGGAGAACTTGCACAATTGGTGGCTGACTAAATACTTTTTTTCCACACTGTACATACATACATACATACATACAGTTGAAGTCTGAAGTTTACATACACTTAGGTTGGAGTCATTAAAACTTGTTTTTCAACCCTCCACAAATGTCTTGTTAACAAATTATAGTTTTGGCAAGTCGGTTAGGACATCTACTTTGTGCATGACACAAGTAATTTTTCCAACAATTGTTTACAGACAGATTATTTCACTGTATCACAATTCCAGTGGGTCAGAAGTTTACATACACTAAGTTGACAGTGCCTTTTAAACAGCTTGGAAAATTCCAGAAAATGATGTCATGGCTTTAGAAGCTTCTGATGGGCTAATTGACATCATTTGAGTCAATTGGAGGTGTACCTGTGGATGCATTTCAAGGCCTACCTTCAAACTCAGTGCCTCTTTGCTTGACATCATAGGAAAATCTAAAGAAATCAGCCAAGACCTCTGAATAAAAATTGTAGACCTCCACAAGTCTGGTTCATCCTTGGGAGCAATTTTCAAACGCCTGAAGGTACCACGTTCATCTGTACAAACAATAGTACGCAAGTATAAACACCATGGGACCACGCAGCCGTCATACCGCTCAGGAAGGAGATGCGTTCTGTCTCCTAGAGATGAACATACTTTGGTGCGAAAAGTGCAAATCAATCCCAGAACAACAGCAAAGGACCCTGTGAAGATGCTGGAAGAAACATGTACAAAAATATCTATATCCACAGTAAAACGAGTCCTATATCGACATAACCTGAAAGGCCGCTCAGCAAGGAAGAAGCCACTGCTCCAAAACCGCCATATAAAAAAAAGCCAGACTACAGTTTGCAACTGCACATGGGGACAAAGATCGTACTTTTTGGAGAAATGTCCTCTGGTCTGATGAAACAAAAATATAACTGTTTGGCCATAATGACAATCGTTATGTTTGGAGGAAAAAGGGGTTTGCTTGAAAGCCGAAGAACACCATCACAACCGTGACGCACGGGGGTGGCAGCATCATGCTGTGGGGGTGCTTTGCTGCAGGAGGGAATGGTGCACTTCACAAAATAGATGGCATCATGGGGAAGGAAAATTATGTGGATATATTGAAGCAACATCTCAAGACATCAGTCAGGAAGTTAAAGCTTGGTCACAAATGGGTCTCCCAAATGGACAATGACCCCAAGTATACTTCCAAAGTTGTGCCAAAATGGCTTAAGGACAACAAAGTCAAGGTATTGGAGTGGCCATCACAAAGCCCTGACCTCAACCCTATCGAAAGTTTGTGGGCAGAACTGAAAAAGCGTGTGCGAACAAGGAGGCCTACAAACCTGACTCAGTTACACCAGCTCTGTCAGGAGGAATGTGCCAAAATTCACTCAACTTATTGTGGGAAGCTTGTGGAAGGCAACCCGACACGTTTGACACAAGTTAAACAATTTAAAGTCAATGCTACCAAATACTAATTGAGTGTATGTAAACTTCTGACCCACTGGGAATGTGATGAAAGAAGTAAAAGCTTAAATAAATCCTTCTCTCTACTATTATTCTGACATTTCACATTCTTAAAATAAAGTGGTGATCCTAACTGACTTAAGACAGGGAATTTTTTACTAGGATTAAATGTCAGGAATTGTGAAAAACTGAGTTTAAATGTATTTGGCTAAGGTATGTAAACTTCAGACTTCAACTCTGTATATGTATATATCTATCAGTTTGAGTGATTTGTGTTCCTTTTCTCAGACGGTCCTGGGCTGCTGGACCCCTGTGAGAAAGCCCAAACCGATGCTCTTGGGAGCATGACCAAGCAAGCCAGGGAAGACATTACTGCCAGCGCGCAGGTACTATCACTACCACACTCACCATGTGATTGGGCATAATCAACAGTAACTTTTGGAAGACTACCACCTTAGACTGGGAAACGGGGCGGCATGTAAAGAAATCATGGATAAGCTATATGGGTACAGATTCACTTAACTTAAACCCCCTTGTTATTATGCTAGTTCTGTTTACACTCCATTCGTGTTTGATTTTCACACATTGATATGTGTGAGAAGGGAATGTTTGAAGTCCACTGATTGACCTCTCCTCTCTCTGGTTCCAGCATGCTCTGCGACTGTTGGCGTTCCGTCAGATCCACAAGGTTCTGGGGATGGACTCCCTGCCGGCGTCCAAGGCCAGCGCTCGGAACCGCAAGCGCAGACGGGACGGGAGCGAGACGGGAGAAGGAGAGGGGGAGGGCAAGAAAGACAAGAAAGAGGATGCAGAAGAGGTGGATGCTTGATCTCTGCCAGAGCAGCGTTAGCCTGGGTGCCCGTCTGGTTCTGCTTCTAATGTTGGCATGAGAATGATAGTGGAGTAAAGCAGAAACTGACTGGCACCCAGGCTAGAGCAGGTTAGTAGTCTATACTGGCAGAATGTCACATCCTTTACGTTTATTTTTATTCTCAAAATCTATATGAATATAACTGACTTAGTCGTAACATTTCTGTCTCCCTAGAGGGAGGAGAGAATGGGAGGGGAAAGGTAAAGATTATTTACTGTAATTCTCTCCCAGTCATTCTGTACTGTAACATACTGTAGATGTGCTGAAAATTGGCTTTAACGTCACTGACATTTCAAGGAGTTAATGACTGATAGCCTGATCCCAGATCTGTATGTGCTTCAGGCCAACTCCTCTTCATGTATTTATGGCATGAAAACGATCGTCAGAGGAGTCAACGATCGTCAGGAGTTTGCTAAAGCACATACTGATCTGGAACCAGGCTAAATGATTGCATCATTCCATTTCCAGAATATTTGCCCACTCAGCTACTGAAGCCCTCCCATTTTCAGTACCTGTACCAACCACTGTTACTTACCATTGTCTTCTATGTACTGTAAGTACTCTTACATGGATGCCTACATTGTAACAAAGCCCTTTTAGCTTTTTTTTCCTGCTTTTCTTATTGAAGACGAGCTTTAATCCTATACTGCACAGGCTAGTTCAAGTGTTTTATTATATACCGAAGACTGCAGGAGTTCCTCATCTAGGTGCATGAATTGAGATGAGTTCTGTAGATGTGGATGGGTTTTGCTGAAGGGTCCGGGGTGAAGACCTGTTACTCAGAGGTTTTAAATACAAAGACATGGGTAAATTAAAGTATGTTTTAAGAATGTACGGTTCATTGTGCCTAAATTGCAGGCAATGACAAATACAATTCTAAAGCTGTAATGTGAAGAAAAACACGTAGAAAACATTGCTCTTTGAAAAGCACTCTCCGTATAGTCTATAAAGATGCCTATACATTTGTCAGACACCTGAAAGAAAAAAATCTGCTTTGTACAAGATGTGATTGCACCACAAAACACTTTTAAAGCTTAAAGGAATCACTGGGTAATAGAAAATGTTTTGTCTAAGAGTTGACTGATAGCTCATACAGTATGTTGCACAGTCTAAGTCTAGCATGCTGAGAGAATGAAGCACTTATAAAATGACCATGATGTTATTATATGCAGCCATATTTTTATGTAAACTTGCCTATTAACAATCTGTTTGTGTTACTGGAGGAAAATGTCTTTGGTGAGTGAGAACTAGAAGTATGGATATCTACTGAAATTATCAAGGGATACCAGTCTTAAGACTTTCTTCCTTGTGCCTGCATGGTTTTGTGTCTAGGAGATGTCGTATCTATGGACTGAAGGTTCTAAAAGTGGAACATTTAAAGCGAAGATCTTATTCACATACTGTATCTTTGTGCATTAAGATTTTGTAAGAAGCGGTTTGTGCTTTTCATATTGACTTCATCTACAAAGAGCATCTTCACAGCACCCATTTTAAGTTTTGTTTTTATCTTTGCAGGATGTTGCAATTTACTTTATTGTTAAAAGGAGAGTTAACGTTGCTGTAATATTATTTGAATTTCTTTGTAGTGGCGCCTTAAATCAAGGATGAATATTAAAGACTTAACCCATGGTCTACTTTTCTGATTATGTGAATAATTGATTATTTTTGACAGAACTGCCATCCCACACCTTGTAAAATGTGTTGCCATTCATGTAGTCCCGTGTAGCTCAGTTGGTAGAGCATGGCGTTTGCAACGCCAGGGTTGTGGGTTCGATTCCCACGGGGGGCCAGTATGAAAATGTATGCACTCACGAACTGTAAGTCGCTCTGGATAAGAGCGTCTGCTAAATGACTAAAATGTAAAAAAAAATATGCCACTGAAAAAATGGTCCGCGCTTCCACAAAGGAGGAATTGTATCGTATCGCACCCCTCTGATATATTGAATATTCATGAATGTAAAGAGAGCAGCAATCAAATGAGATGGGCTAATTCCATTGAATTCTACAGTCTGGCAGAAATGAGTGTTTGAATCAGGAAAATGTCCTCTCACAACCTCTACAAGCCAGAATGTTGAATAAAATTCTTATTTTAACATACTTTACCAGTTGTCCATGCGGTTGGCCCTTTTGGCGGTAGGAATGTTAGACCAATATATCCACAAGAAAGTATAATTACATCAACTTTTCAAAGCGCTGGTAGTGTGTTACGATTTCTATTACCTGAAACGTGCACAAGAAAAAAAAAACATGCGCATGCCTCAGGTGATGGAAATCTGAACGCACTACCAGCGCTTTGGAAAATTGATGTAATTATACTTTCCTGTGGATATGTTGTCTCACATTCCTACCGCCAAAAGGACCAACCGGTAAAGTACGGTAAAATATACATTTATTCAACATTCTGGCTTGTAGAGCCAGAGGAAACTTTCCTGATTCAAATGATAATTTCTGCAATTCAACGTCGGGTTTCCAGGCAAGGTGGTGAGTAATCATTGAAGCGCTGGCTAGTATTCGAAGATGCGTTTTTGATTAACTTACAACACACAACCTCTTATGTTCTTGTCATCGGAACTTTTAACTGCATAAAGGAATTAGGAAGTAGCTATTTCTACCGCGATTCTCGTTGTTACTAAATAGCCTGTAATGCGACGCGCCGGGGCAATTGGTCACTGGCGTCCTCGCCCATTCCACAAATCGAAACTGCGATGAGAAATGTGACCGATCGAATCCTAATGCTGATCAACATTGTGAACAAATGTAGTGTTATTGGTAAGTAACAGTTTCAGCTCACTGTTATGGCTTCACTTGTGTTCTCATTATCAGGAAATAAATAGTCTTAGTTCATACGTCAATTGCTACAGCTCTCCAAATACCTGCATGTTATGAGCACTCATATGTCTGGACCATATTACAGTTTGCTTCATTGCTGAGCCACAGGTATCTGACTGCCATATGATGTCCCACCTTGAGTGGTCTGTTTTAATGCTGTTGCCTATTTATTTTCTTATATTTAACTGATCCTTCAAATAGGGTTTCTTTTTTTAGGAATGTATATATTTTAATGACTTGGAATGGAGCAGTGGTAGGCTACTGTTACTCTAACATATTGTTTATTTAGCCTACTATTATTGCTAGAATTGTGTTAGAAGTTTTCCAGATGGTGTTTCTCATAAGACATTTGCTCTCCTTGAACAGGTGTTCTTGTTACTGATGAATTTACATCCATCCAGACTTATTCTTGAGGATGGCAACGGTATGTATCAATTGTATGTCCCGGGTCAATAACTGTGAGATAAAATCATTATTTCATGACACTGCATGGCTTGTTTATCAGTTTGTAGGAAATAGTGACTCATTCCCTCCTGAGAAATAACTGGTTAATTTACATTTTTAAAATGTTTAGTCATTTAGCAGACACTCTTATCCAGAGCGACTTAGTGCATACATTATTTTTCATACTGGCCCCCCGTGGAAATCGAATCCACAACCCTGGCATTGCAAACGCCATGCTCTACCAACTGAGCTACATCCCTGCCGGCCATTCCCTCCCCTACCCTGGACGACCCTGGGCCAATTGTGCGCCGCCCCATGAGTCTCCCGGTCACGGCCGGCTACGACAGAGCCTGGATTCGAACCAGGATCTCTAGTGGTACAGCTAGCACTGCGATGCAGTGCCTTAGACCACTGCACCACTCACTTAATTTACCACCATGTCTGAACTTAAATTTTAGTTGGAGTTTCTGAGCAACTGATGCTGTAAATGTCAAAGTTGCCTTCTCTATCTCCCCCTTATAGAAGAGTTTGGCGTCCGGCACACAATGTGTTTCCAAGAGTGACCACAGCAAACCTAAAGCTGGTGAACTGGCCTACTGCAAAGGAGACATCCTCACTATTGTGGAAACAGGAACGGTACATAATGACTATGTTGTTATTCTATGGTCAGAAAAGGGTCTCAGGGGCCCTCGTTGCACACAATGTACTTTCCAAAAATAATAATCCAAACTTGCCCCTGCTCTTTGTGTACTGTCTGCTCTGGTGGGGGCTCTATAAATACAATTGAGATGAAATTAATCTATTTGCATGATTCTACTGAATGCTATTCTGATGCTGTTTTCTAGGGGAAAGGACATTACAAGGCCAGACACAACACCACAGGAGAGGAAGGACTCATCTCTTCCACCAACGTGCGAGAACGAGAGGCCATTCGCGTCAACCCCAGTCTCAGTCTCATGCCGTAGGTCTATTTAAGGCTATGCGTCTGGACTTCTATATATAGACCTATATTACAATACACCTACTTTATAGCATACAACTATAGTACAATTAAGATGGAAGATTTGATCCAGTTTGGTTAGCTCTGAGCTAGGGCCAGGTGGTTTTCCTGACCTTGAGACAACTCCTGGCCCTTTATGGAATATCTATCTAATCCCGACCAATAACTCTGTTGGTCCATGCTAGCTGGTTCCATGGGAAGATCTCAGGTCCTGAGGCGGTGTCCAAGCTGCGGCCTGTGGAGGATGGCCTGTTCCTGGTGCGGGAGTCCATCCGTCACCCTGGTGATTACGTGCTCTGTGTCAGCTACTCCAGCCAGGTCATCCACTACCGAGTCCTCTACCAGGACAGCAAACTGACCATCGACAAAACCCAGTACTTCTACAACCTCTTAGACATGATAGAGGTGAGGAGGAGATAGATTTGTTTGATTTATTTATACAACTTTTATTTATCAAGGTTAATCTCATTGAGGTAAAATCTATTCTGTAAGACAGACCTTATTGATAGGGTCAGGAGTTTATATATTGAAAATTAGCTGGACGTGTTGAGATATGTGTATACAGTGCAGACCTTTTAATAAACAGGTTAACATTCGTAAGGCCACGAGGCCAGACGGAATTCCTGGATGCGTGCTCGGCGCATGCGCTGACAGATGGCAAGTGTCTTCACTGACATTTTCACCCTGACCCGTTCTGTAATACCAACTTGTTTCAAGCAGACCACCATAGTCCCCGTGCCCAAGAACGCCATGGTAACCTGCCTAAATGACTATCGCCCCGTAGCACTCACATCTATAGCCATGAAATGCTTTGAAATTCTGGTCATGGCTCACATCAACACCATCATCCCGGACACCCTGGACCCACTCCAATTTGCATACCACCCCAACAGATCCACAGATGACGCACACTGACCTCACACACCTGGACAAAAGGAATGCCCGTGCAAGAATGTTGTTCATTGACTACAGCTCAGCATTCAACACCATAGTCCCCTCCAAGCACATCACCAAGCTAGGGACCCTGGGACTCCCTCTGCAACTGGATCCTTGACTTCTTGACGGGCCGCCCCCAGGCGGTGAGGGTAGGCAACAATACATCTGCCGCGCTGACCATCGATACTGGGGCCCCTCAAGGGTATGTGCTTATTCCCCTCCTGTACTCCCTGTTCACCCACGACTGCGTGGCCGCAGGAAACGGCGGGGCGAGCACACACCCATCCACATCGATTGGGCTGTAGTGGAGCGGGTTGAGAGCTTCAAGTTCCTCGGTGTCCACATCACTAAGGAATTAACATGGTCCATACACACCCACACAGTTGTCAAGAGGGCACGACAGTGCCTCTTCCCCCTCAGGAGGCTGGAAAGATTTGGCATGGGCTCTCACATCCTCAGAAGTTCTACAGCTGCACCATTGAGAGCATCTTGACTGGCTGCATCACCACTTGGTACAGCAACTGCAAGGCACCCGACCGCAAGGCGCTACAGAGGGTGGTGAGTACGGACCAGTGCATCACTAGGGCCGAGCTCCCTGCCATTCAGGACCTCTATACCAGGCGGTGTCAGAGAAATGCCCAAAAATGTGTCAAAGACTCCAGCCACCCAAGCCATAGACTATTCTCTCTGCTACCGCACAGCAAATGGTACCAGTGCACCAAGTCTGGAACCAACAGGACCCTGAACAGCTTCTACCCCAAGCCATAAAACTGCTAAACATGACTGCTAAGTAGCTAATCAAATGGCTACCCGGACTACCTGTATTTACCCTTTTTTGAACTCACACATATTACACTGACACCACAACACATACACACACACACTACAAACGCCCACACCTGCATACGGATGTCACAAACACACACTTTCACACCACGCTGCTGCTACTGTTCCACATATGCTGCTGCTACAGCTCATTCTATTATATATCATGTTGTCTAGTCACTTTACCCCTATAGCTACCTCAATTACCTTGTACCCCTGCACATCGACTCAGTACTGGTACTCCCTGTGTATAGCTCTGCTATTTTTACTCGTTATTCGTTATTCACTGTGTATTTATTCCTCGTGTCACTTTATCTTTATCTTTAACTCTGTATTGTTGGAAAAGGACCGGTAAGTAAGCATTCACTGTTAGTCTACACCTGTTGTTTACAAAGCATGTGACAAATACCATTTTATTTTGAGGGTTTCCTTACAAATATCTTGCCTACGGCATTATACTGAGGAGCTAATGTTCATAATCACAACAGGGAGCCTGATCACACTGAATTTGATTTGAACCACATTGAAAGGAACTGTCGTTTACTGTTTACAGTTTAAAAGAAAGACTTAAGTCCCAGCAGACCTTTTAATGTTAATCTATATTGAGCCTGTGAGTTTCCGAGCTATTGGAAAGCACAGCCACAATGGTGTTTGGAGATGTGAGTGACTGTAAAGACTAAAGATGGCTCACCACTCCCTTATCTGTGGAGCACAGATGTCTTTATCCCTGACTCATATCGCTGGCTAACTCTTGTGAGGAAATAAAGGGAGAATCCAGCTGCTCCCTGACACCCACAGCTGAGGGCAGGACTATTCGATTTAAAAATAAAACAAGTTTGTTGTGTACAGTTCTTTTTGATAGTACTAAATTGGTATAGTTTTAGAATGAATAACTAACAGTAAATACTGTACATACATTCAGTATACTGTATGTGGCCCCTACATACACTTGTGTCGTGAGTTCTAGCAACCAACTTAGTAAATAAAAAACGAGCCTCTTAAGTTTGCGACAGATATATTTTGTAAATCTATCTCAAACGGCACGTCATAACAGTAGTCAGGACATTAACACCTGCCCCTTATCAGCTGTGGTTAGTGCACTGTGGCTTTGCAGTGCAACTAAAGAAGAAAAGGCTTATGTCCTGACTACTGTTATGACGTGCCGTTTGAGATAGATTTACAAAATATATCTGTCGCAAACTTAAGAGGCTCGTTTTTTATTTACTAAGTTGGTTGCTAGAACTCACGACACAAGTGTATGTAGGGGCCACATACAGTATACTGAATGTATGTACAGTATTTACTGTTAGTTATTCATTCTAAAACTATACCAATTTAGTACTATCAAAAAGAACTGTACACAACAAACTATCGAATAGTCCTGCCCTCAGCTGTGGGTGTCAGGGAGCAGCTGGATTCTCCCTTTATTTCCTCACAAGAGTTAGCCAGCGATATGAGTGGCGCAGTGGTCTAAGGCACTGCATCGCAGTGCTAACTGTGCCACTAGAGATCCTGGTTCGAATCCAGGCTCTGTCGCAGCCGGCCGCGACCGGGAGACTCATGGGCGGCGCACAATTGGCCCAGCGTCGTCCAGGGTAGGGGAGGGAATGGCCGGCAGGGATGTAGCTCAGTTGATAGAGCATGGCGTTTGCAACGCCAGGGTTGTGGGTTCGATTCCCACGGGGAGCCAGTATAAAAAATATAAAAATACATTTTTAAAAAATTTAAAAATGTAATCACTAACTGTAAGTCGCTCTGGATAAGAGTGTCTGCTAAATGACTAAAATGTAAATGTAATGTAATGTAATGCTCAGCTCGCTACCATAACATCATTTTCTCCAAAAGTGTCAATGACAGTATAGTTCAGTCTCTGTTTTAATATAAGCTGTCACTAATGGCTATCTATGCAGTTCTACTCCAAGCACAAGGGAGCTATCGCCACCAAACTTCTAAAGCCCAAAGAGAAGGAGGGAACCAAGTCAGCTGAGTTGGAGCTGTCTAAAAGTAAGAGCTTGGCCTTTACCGTCTCATGATGTGTCAGAGTTGGCCTCCTCAAGGCTCATCGATTCCTTCCTGGTTGGGGGCTGCTGGGTATTTTGTGGGTGTAAGGGTGTGTCTCACTTCTTTCTTTTGAAGTGAGAGCGATAAAGAATGAAAAGCTACTTGTTTTAGACTGTTGTCTCTGTGTGTGTCACAGCGGGATGGCTGCTGGATATCAGGAAGCTGACCTTGGGAGAGAGTATCGGGGAGGGGGAGTTTGGAGGTGAGACTGCAATGTCTTATTGTGAATGTTTTAAAATGAACCGTAAACCATTCTAACATTGAATTGAACCCTGATTCTAGATGTTACAGGTTTAATTGACAGTCATCCTTTTGTCCAATAGCCGTGTATGAAGGAGACTACATGGGCCAGAAGGTGGCAGTAAAGAACATTAAATGTGATGTAACGGCTCAGGCATTCTTAGAAGAGACCACTGTTATGACGTGAGTCGAGAGTAGCGAGACATGTTTTCTTGATTAACTTAATTGATTTAATTAAATGGAGGAATTTCTAACTTCCTTTATTCCTTCCTTCATTTTATGCTTTCTTTCTTCCTTCCTTGTTTCCTTCCTTCCTTCCCTTCCTTCCTTCCTTCCTTGCTTCCTTCCTTCATTGATTGTTTTTGATCTGACTCTCCACTAGGAAATTACAGCATAAGAATCTGGTGCGGTTGTTGGGGGTGATCCTACACAATGGACTGCACATCGTCACAGAGCTCATGGCCAAGGTACTGCTGCTGTGACTTCAGTACAGTCAATCTGTAGTCACAGTCAATCAAGACTAACAAATATACTAGGAGTAGACTTCATCTCAGTCCAGGAGACAGGCCCTAATAGCTTGTTGATGCAAAACAATTGTAGCAAACACACAATTAGGGACTAACTTAAATTACACAACTCCTATCCAACTGTATTTCTCTTTATTTGTGTGTTGCAGGGTAATCTGATGAACTTCCTCCGGACGAGGGGCCGTTATGTCATCGGCACTGACCAGCTACTACGCTTTGCACTGTGAGGCCATATCATAGAATTACATAGAACTCTATACACTCTACATTACTACAATCACACTGCTCTTTAACAGTCAACTCGTGTCCCTTAGTCATTCATAGCGGATCCCATGTTTGTAGGTATATACAGTTAAACGGCACTTCTTGGTACTCTCCCTGCCGCATGACCAACTTTACATTTGTGTCTATTTCAGTATATAAGAGTGTGTGTGTTGTGTGTTCAGAGATGTATGTGAGGGTATGGAGTACCTGGAGTCTAAGAGGTTGGTCCACAGAGACCTAGCGGCCCGTAACATCCTGGTCTCCAACGAGGGCGTGGCCAAGGTCAGTGACTTTGGATTGACCAAGTTGGACTGCAATGCCTCAGACAATGCTAAACTACCAGTCAAATGGACAGCCCCTGAAGCCCTGAAGAAAGAGGTATGATCATGTTTACCCCTCTAACATCTAACGTTTATCACGCTTACAGTACAGACTTATGTGTATTAACAGACTTAAAGAATGCATAATTCATGGGAATTGTGTATGACGGTTGGTTGGTGTCAGGGTTTTAGCCTATGTCGTTATCACACAGTACTTCTCATGTCAATCAACCATCATTGTTGTGATTTTGCTACCTATCATTGAATTGCTTTTGTGGTCATGTGTGGTTGTCCTGCAGAAATTCTCTACACGGTCAGATGTATGGAGCTACGGTATTCTCCTCTGGGAGACGTTCTCCTATGGTCGACAACCCTACCCTAAGATGGTGAGTCCGGACTTTACTGATCTTTATGAACAGTGATGTAGAATTTTCAGTCACTGTGGCAGCACAATGCACCAAAACTTAGTATGAGAAATGTGAACTGGTGTTTCGAAAAATCAATCAAGGCAGTCCGACCCAGTTGCTCACTTTCTTATGGTGGTGTAATGCGCTGAACAATGGCATGCCATAGCTCTGTCATTCATGAAGCTGCAAGGTCCTCTGTTCTGACGCCAGTGTCGCAGCAGGTGTCCCAGAGGTCTTTTCCTGTGGGAGGAGAGCCACGGTATAATAAAGCTTATTGATTGCGTCATCTGGATACCTACGCCAGTCGTTTTTACCAGTGACATCCTGGCACCAGTGCGTTTCTCCTATTATGGTTGGTCCTAATGGAAAACGGGTTTGTTTGACATTTTATGCCTTTATGACCCGTTTTCCACGTATATCAGCAGTGCTTTATCCACTGATGGACTTACAGTACTGAAACGAAAGAAACTTTGCCTAAGGTTAAAGGCCATGTAAATGTGTCAGGACAAGGATTTGCACCAGACTCATTTTATCTCTCCTGAATGGGAGTCGAGGGAAATGAGGGGATTTATAAGCTTGGCTCTGGTCCGACTGTGTGTAGTTATGTTGTACAAGTAGAGGACCCCTGTGAATAGGTTTTAACCATATTTCTGTCCCATGGTTTCTGATGCGGTCATAAACTGTAGTCTGTCCCAGACCTCTGTTTCTTTAGTACTACATTTTAATTGGCACTCATTGTCACCATATGTGTTCATTTGAAGAAAAACACCTTAGTCTTGGTGAAGCAGCACCGATAACAAACTATGCTGTGATGACAGGGCAGTTAACTCTAGAGAAATGGAAGGGTACATTATTTATTTACTCCATTCTTTAAATTATCTTTATCCATGCTTTATCTGTTTGCAGGGAGTCTCAGTTACTCCCCACACAGGTATGTAAAGCGGAGAATCAAAGCAATGGCACTAAGCAGGTAATAATGGCAGGGATAAACCAGGATTAGTGCTTGTAGGCCGCGTTTCTACGGCAACCGCTCCTGTTGGCAGCCAGCCAAAAAGAAGAACGAGGGGGTGGGGTGAGGAGGGTGAGAGAGTGTGTGTGTTCATGAGTGTGTATGTGTGTTTGTACATGAAGGGGGGGAAGAGATTATGGAACTTGCACTCTCCTGTGACACATAGTCTCACTGTCAATCCTTTGTACCTGTCCAGCCCTATCCCTGTTTGCCTGGCAGGTCAGGGAGAATATGAGGACATGGCATGGGCAGCCTGCGGGGGATCAGCTAGACTGACTTAAAGCATGCTTAGTGGTGGTTTAATCATATAATTAGAATGAGTGACTCATACTGCACTTGTTTAATGCAGGAGATTTAACATACAAATACAGTATGTAGACTAAATGCTGTATGTTTGACCTTTTATTTTGTGTCCACTAAAAAGTTAACTGACCCTTTAAGAGGGGATGACATTATCTCATGTCTCATCTCTTTTTCTATCTGTCTCGTTATGTCTCCCTCCTCAGTCTCTGAAGGAGGTGAAGGAGCATGTGGAGCAGGGTTACCGTATGGAGGCTCCAGAGGAGTGTCCCCCCAGTGTCTACGCCCTGATGAGGTGCTGCTGGGAGGCTGAGCCCAGGAAGAGGCCCTCCTTCCATAAACTACAGGAGAAGCTGGAGAGAGAGCTGACCAAACACAGCCCTGGCCCTGGCTGCTGAAGTCACTTTAATAATCCTATTCAAATAACTATTGTTCTTTGTTTTGAGCTGCCTGGAGCAGGGACAGTAACCTGGGCAGGTGGACCCAAGTGGTTACCGCTCGCTTCACAGCTTTCCCGGGAAACTCAATGTATTATAGCATCACACGGACGAAAGAGTAGCGGATGAAGGAGTTCGCTTCTGCTGCATGTTATGTTTCTTTTTAATGGAATGAACTACTGTAATGAAGAGTCCTTACACTTATTTCTATATGTGGTAATAGAGGGAGCAGCTCAGCTCGTCATATCTCCACACCCCAATTCTGTTTCCATCCTGAGTAACATATTATTTGTGTTACCAATATGTGTTCATTATTTTTCTTTCATAAGAGACAGAGAGCGAAAAGGAGAGAGGGAGAGCGAGAGAGATGGAAAGAGGAAAAATGCTTATCCGGGATTAAATCCCAGATCATCCGTATCTGCTTGTTTCAGACTGTAATTGTCCAGCAATATGCCCTGCGACTCGGAGCTTAATATGTGAAATCTTGAATGTTATTGCTGATATTAGGAAGGAATTACAAATCCGACAACAGTTTGTCTGTGTACAAGCTCTGAGAAGCTACAGGGGATTGGGACGGAATATCCTATTTTCTTTTCAGTTCATTTGCCATAAATGTAGTAGGCCTATACTCCCATAAAACCAGTGACTCATCAGGCCTTAGTCGATCTATCTATCTGTGTAAAGGGATTTTTTTTATTAAATCCAGTTCCTAAAAGCAAAGGGGGTGCTCGGATTGAACAGTAACTTTTGGACAATGGACATTTACAAAGAAGAGAAACATGCTGCATCCGGGGTTTACAATTAAAAATATTAAATAATGTAGAGCATATAAGGGACTTATCTCTAAAACAACCAAGGTTCTCCTGTCTTCAAGCAGTCATGATTAACTCAGCCCAGATTAGAGAGGGGAGAGCTTTTTATTTTATTATTGTTGTCACGTTACAACCCAAATTAAAGATGTCATTAGTTTTAAGTCTTTGTAAGCCTGGTATTTGTCTTTCACCCATGGGATGAACCCCAGATTGAGTCCTGATCCGCTCCCATCACATCACCATAGGGCCTGTGGGTGGAGTTGCTTTGTTTCCCTAAAACTTCTAATGGATGATATGAAATATTCCCAGAAATAATGAAAAAATAAATAGGAACATTTTTAAGCGGCATTTGGCTTATTTCTGGTGAACGACTACGGGTATTGAAGAAGGAATTGTCTGAAGGTTGGTACATCTGTGATTTAAGGAGAAGCCCTACAGAGTATTGGCCAATACCAGTACCGTACAGTGCAGTAGATATAAAATTCCTGGAAACCACTTTCATTCAACTGGATCACATTCTCATGCACTCAAGTCATTGCCAACTCACTACTGTAGAACAACAATAAATTGGAGATTGTTTACGATAGAAATACCTATTTTAGAATGTTGACGTTTAACTATAGTAGTTATGTCACCGAAGGTAGTCTTATACTCAGAAGACACTGTTCGTAGGGCCCTGCGGCCCCCACCAACAAAAAAAAAAAACTCTGGGTCTCAACTTACTGTTGAGAGATAGCAGAGTAGAATAAACGAGGTGCAATTTCAAAATTTGTTAGTGCATCAGCAGTTTTTCTCTTATGTCCACTGACAGTCACTCAATTAGCCCATGTCCGCTAACATTTTATAAGATTGCTAGGTGAGTAAGTCTAGCCAGCAATCTAAACCTTCATGGCTAAATTACCTACTGGGCACGTCCCCAGGGGCCCTAACTGCCAGGGGGACCCCGACCCCCAGGGGGCCTCCATTGATTTTGTTAGTCACCCAGGTATCGTATGAACACCATCATTAAGTTTGCCGACGACACAACAGTGGTAGACCTGATCACCGACAACGATGAGACAGCCTATAGGGAGGGGGTCAGAGACCTGGCCGTGTGGTGCCAGGATAACAACCTCTCCCTCAACGTGACCAAGACAAAGGAGATGATTGTGGACTACAGGAAAAAAAGAGGACTGAGCACGCCCCCATTCTCATCGACGGGGCTGTAGTGGAACAGGTTGAGAGCTTCAAGTTCCTTGGTGTCCACATCACCAACAAACTATCATGGTCCAAACGCACCAAGACAGTCGTGAAGAGGGCACGACAAAGCCTATTCCCCCTCAGGAGACTGAAAAGATTTGGCATGGGTCCTCAGATCCTCAAAAAATTCTACAGCTGCACCATCGAGAGCATCCTGACTGGTTGCGTCACCGCCTGGTATGGCAACTGCTCGGCCTCCGACCGCAAGGCACTACAGAGGGTAGTGCGTACGGCCCAGTACATCACTGGGGCCAAGCTTCCTGCCATCCAGGACCTCTATCCCAGGCGGTGTCAGAGGAAGGCCCTCAAAATTGTCAAAGACTCCAGCCACCCTAGTCATAGACTGTTCTCTCTGCTACCGCACGGCAAGCGGTACCGGAGTGCCAAGTCTAGGTCCAAAAGACTTCTCAACAGCTTCTACCCCCAAGCCATAAGACTCCTGAACAGCTAATCATGGCTACCCAAACTATTTGCACTGCCCCCCCACCCCCACCCCCACCCCATCCTTTTACGCTGCTGCTACTCTGTTAATTATTTATGCATAGTCACTTTAACTCTACCCACATGTACATATTACCTCAACTACCTCAACTAGCCAGTGCCCCCGCACATTGACTCTGCACCGGTACCCCCCTGTATATATAGCCTCCCTACTGTTATTTTATTTTACTTGCTCTTTTTTCTCAACACTTTTTTGTTGTTGTTTTATTGTACTTTTTTAAATAAAAAAAGTAATGCATTGTTGGTTAAGGGCTGTAAGTAAGCATTTCACTGTAATGTCTACACCTGTTGTATTCGGCGCATGTGGCCAATAAAATTTGATTTGAACATGGCATAAGTGAAGACCGAATTGCAGGAAATTAGCTTTAAAACTGCTAAATGTTCTCTCCGCCGCCAAGAGGGAGGCCACTAAAATGTTTTGTCTGCTTAGGGCCCCCATAAGGCTAGAGGCGGCTCTGCATTTAAGTGACATATTACATATGTCACTATAAAACATATATAGTTATGGTTCTTACTATAAAATAAGACCGGAGAAGTCTGGTGCTAGAGTGGAGGTCAGAGTGGATACGGGGCGTTTTATTTATTTTGAAAGCGTGTTTAAATGCCACTATTTGGACATTCTAATGAGACCATGTTGGTGTTTGTCTTGTCGTCAACTGGGTCATTATTAGTTATGTTGGCCAAGCCTCTCTTGGACTACCCCATCGATAATGGTGGCCAAGGCTGAGCTTAACCTGAAGTTGACTGGGAAATAAAGATAATGTTGACCAAGCCTGTGCTGGAACTGGTAGACTGGGCCATAAGTAGTGTTGGGCCAACATGGAGAAAAACCCCTGGATGCCTAGTATGCCTGGCCTGGCCTGGGTTGCCAGCAGAGCCTTATAGAAGCAGCAGGCCACAACCAGTGGCATTGGTATCATTATTGGCTGCTAATGAAGTAGACACAGTTATCAGACTCCTATAATCCAGGCTTACAGTTCAAATGGAGACTGCTCTTTTGACACTCTAAGCTGCTCTGAAATATTTTTGATCCCCTCCCCATGCTCTGTTGAATGAAATTGAGTGAGATACCGGGTGAGTTCTCCTTGAGTGCATGGCTTTAGGTAAAGTGATATTTTATAACAAGTTCCTTTCAGGCGCTTATTACTTACTTACTTAGCCACTTATCCTGTATATATTTTTGTCTGTGATGCAGTTTTTTTTATTATTTTTTTACAATTATTGTGCCTGACTCAAAATGGAAGGAGAAAGTTGAGCTGAGAGCTAACTGTGAGATGACGCTCCTGAGAAGTGATACGTCAGTAAGGTATCCCCTTCCAACTTCATCAGGATGGCAAAACAGAATAGGTAACACATAGTGAACCGAGAGTCAGTTACTGGATTTCCAGGTGCTTTTCTTTTACGAAAGAACCTGCGGAACCCAATCAAAGCTCACCTGGCCTCGGGTCCTTTGGTTACTGGCATGTGTGATTGTTAATGAGGATGAGAGCCAGTTGATAGTGAAGTCTTCCTGCCCCAGTGCCTTGGTTTACATCAGTTAGCTACACTCTGAGGACACAGGCTGGACACAGTAACACAATAACACTGCTTAAGCAGCCAGAGCTGGCTCTGGCCTTTTAGGGGCCCTAAGTGAGATTTGTGGCTACCCTCTTGATGGGGGTAAATTCCTGCAATTCTACACATTTTGCCATAAGGCTTAAAGAAAATGTTTCCATTTTAAAGCAAGTTTTCTGCAGTTGTACAAACTTTGCCATGGGACAAAGAGAACATTTAGCTATTTTATAACACATTTCATCCAATTCTACGGTCTACAGGCTGGGCTGTAGACCGTATTTTACGATATACCTGTATTGATGCACGGACAGGTTTGGGTTTTTACTTTACCTTCTATAACGGTATTTGAATGTTTCGTTTGTTAAATGTGATACGCTGTGTGTAACGTCCAGTTTTATAGTTTACTTAGCTACTTGAGTCATCTCTCTCCTTTCTCTCCATGCCACTTTCCACACAGACCTAGCCCTGCCCAGTCACTCAAGGAGCGCATTTGTTGATCCTCTACCAAATCAAATAAAAATCAAATCACATTTTATTTGTCACATACACGTGTTTAGCATATGTCATTGCGGGTGTAGCGAAATGCTTGTGGTTCTAGCTCCGACAGTGCAGTAATATCTAACAAGTAATATCTAACAATTTCACAACATATACCCAATACACAAATCTAAGTAGGGAATGAAATTAAGAATATATTCATATATGGACGAGCAATGACAGAGCAGCATGGACTAAGATACAGTAGAATATTATAGAATACAGTATATACAGTGGGGAGAACAAGTATTTGATACACTGCTGATTTTGCAGGTTTTCCTACTTACAAAGCATGTAGAGGTCTGTAATTTTTATCATAGGTACACTTCAACTGTGAGAGACGGAATCTAAAACAAAAATCCAGAGAATCACATTGTATGATTTTTAAGTAATTAATTTGCATTTTATTGCATGACATACAGTGGGGGGAAAAAAGTATTTAGTCAGCCACCAATTGTGCAAGTTCTCCCACTTAAAAAGATGAGAGGCCTGTAATTTTCATCATAGGTACACGTCAACTATGACAGACAAATTGAGAA